AGAGGGACGATGTTAATATCAATAATTAAAGTTAGAGTTGCATGAACATGCAGTGAGACAATTATACATGTGATTGTGCACTGACGAGCTATTTATTTATGAGAATGCATCTATGTAAATGGAGACTAGTGGATGATGATTGAATTAGAAATCTAAGCCCTGAAGAGTTTTCCTTTTTGAATAACTATTTACTTAGTAAGTATGTAACTAATTTACATCACGTTTCTGAATTGCTCCATAGGCCACATGTATAAAATGCATTTTTGTTGGTTCATCACGTGATGTGTTTCGGTTGCTAGTAGCATGCTCTTATTTACTATAACTAGTACTGTGATATGCATTAACTACGACATTCATTTAGTTCTACACACCTCTTCATTTTCTGGCAGCTTCCTGATCATACCTATTAAACACTCAAGTTAATGATAAGTTAGAGACGATGAAGATATTCAATTAGATACAAAGATTGTAAGTGTGGCATGAGACATGGCAGATCAAAATATTAGGATGCACCTCAGGGCACAAGTTCCAAGCAGCAAAGCCTATAAGAATTGGACTTCAAATTCTGTGAATGCATGAAATTTAGAATTTATCTACTTCTTGCTCTTTTTTTTGGGGTCTTTTTGTGCAAGTCAATTTAATTGAAATTCCTACAAAATGAAATTTCCTTGAAGTTCATGAATTTGTCTTAATCTTTTCCTCTGTTGCATGAGAACTTTTTCATTGACCAAGAGAGATACCGAGAGGAATAGTTTGTCGGCCTGCCTGCTGACATGTCTTTCGTTTTCTTAACAGGTAAATGAACAACTTAATTTTAATAGTCTTGCTTAAGACAAATTGAAAGGAGGGGATTTCCTATTGAAGTGGATGACTTCAATTAGTGTGGTGCCCTCGATGGGGCTAAGAAACACCAGTGGAACAATTGGTGCTGTGGACAGGTTGCCAGATGAGATGAAAGACATGAAAATAAGGGATGATAAGGTAGATGAGTAACACCAGTTATGCATCTAGTGACTAGTGCTTCTACTTTGTGTCACTATGATAGTAGAATACGGCCAATAAATTAGTTGTTTCACCAAATCAACTAATTTAATGAACTACTGCAGGAAGCTGAAGAAACAGTGGTTGATGGGAATGGCACAGAAACTGGTCATATAATTGTTACAACAATTGGAGGTAGAAATGGTCAGCCAAAACAGGTAAAAAGAGCTTTTTTCAATATGCTATAGAAATGTAGGAATGCGTTTAAACCTATTTAGAAGAACTGGATTTTTGATATGAATTATGGAAGAAAGACTAAAATATTCGATTGGCTCGGTACTATAGATAAATTGGTATCATACATGGTTAACATCTTAGGTTTTCTTCTTTATGCTTCAGCCTTATTTTTCTTGGATGAATGCATTTGCACACTCATTCTCTTAATGATCTGTTCATTTTGATGGCAGACCATAAGCTATATGGCTGAGCGTGTTGTTGGACATGGCTCATTTGGTATAGTATTCCAGGTCAGTTTCTAAACAGTTGAGCTTACAAAGTACTTCTGTTTTTATCATCCTGCAGATGAGATAATAATAGTAATCGGCATTATTCTTTTCTGTTTATAGGCTAAATGTCTTGAGACTGGTGAAACAGTTGCCATAAAGAAGGTTCTGCAAGACAAGAGGTATAAAAACCGTGAATTGCAGACCATGCGCTTTCTTGACCATCCAAATGTCATTTCTATGAAGCATTGTTTTTTCTCAACTACTACAAAGGATGACCTGTACCTGAACTTGGTACTTGAGTATGTTCCAGAGACAGTTCATCATGTTATCAAACACTACAACAAGATGAACCAACGAATGCCTCTAATATATGTGAAACTATACATGTACCAGGTTAGCAGGAGTTTACTGTCGTTGCAACTTCTGTTTATTATTTGTTTTTTGGACCTTTGTTTTGGTTGGTGAATTTTCAACATATGCATTTCATTAAGTTTAAATAGATTCTTAAAAGTTATTATTGTTAAGTCCTCACTGTTCGTGTAGTCATATACACCTAACTTTTTGGGGTCACTTTTATGCACCAAAGACTAATTCTTGAAGTAAATATTCTGATATTTGCTGCTGATAGGTGTATCTGTTGGCTCCACAATGCTGCAGGATGGAGATTTCATTTTATGAAAATATAGACAGAACATTCAATCTTACAAGCCAAATAGTTTATTTCTTTTTTTTTTCTCTGAACACTCCTGAATTCTTGTGGTGCACTTTTTCTGATTCTGTTTTGTTACTACAACAGATCTGTAGAGCGTTGGCCTATATTCATGGCAGCATTGGAGTATGCCATAGAGACATAAAACCCCAGAATCTTCTGGTATATATTCACTCTATTGTATTAATTTAGTATTTATATTTTTTTTTTTCATTTTAAACACCTTATTCCACTAAATCTAATATAAATGTTGGTTGTTATTCTTACCTTGATAAATTAATTTTTTTATTGATCAATTGTAAAGTTACATTTTTGTTCGCTTGAAGTTATTTTGAAATGGTTGGAGATATATGGTGCTTAGTATACAGAGACATTGATGTGGGTTTCATCTGATTTCATTACGAGTTTCATCTCTTATGTCCTAAATCAGTAGTGAACTTACATTTTACTTAAAACAGGTCAACCCACACACTCACCAGCTAAAAATATGTGACTTCGGGAGTGCAAAAGTCTTGGTATATTTTTTTTCTTTTCATCTGTCAAATTGATGTCAATCGATTTAATTCAATAGCATATACATTTAGCTTTTCTTTTGTTTATGCAGGTAAAAGGAGAACCAAATATTTCATATATATGTTCCAGATATTATAGGGCTCCTGAGCTTATATTTGGGGCTACTGAGTATACTACGGCAATCGACATCTGGTCTGCTGGGTGTGTTCTTGCAGAACTTATGCTAGGACAGGTAAACTAACATGGAAGACTTTTTCTGTGGATACTTTCTAGTCCTGCATACATTTCACATGCCAATTTACAATGGTTTGTTATTTGGTAGCCTCTCTTTCCAGGAGAAAGCGGAGTTGACCAACTTGTTGAAATAATAAAGGTAATACAACTGTTAACCCATGCCTCTACTGCTGCCTAAACGATATCTTTGTTTGAGTTTTACTATTTGCTACAGCTGACCTTTTATGATGTGTATTTTTCCAATTCAGGTTCTAGGTACACCCACAAGGGAAGAAATTAAATGCATGAACCCAAATTACAATGAATTCAAATTCCCACAGATAAAGGTTCATCCTTGGCACAAGGTACTATAATAAGTGTTTTCCTATGGTTTCCAACTATAACCTACTCAGGCTATTTGCTTTTACTTATCTGCTATAGAAGTCTTATTATTGTCATCTGTTTGCTCAGATATTCCATAAACAAATGCCTCTTGAAGCTGTGGATCTTGTCTCTAGGCTTTTGCAATACTCCCCAAGCTTGCGATGCACTGCGGTGAGTATAAACTACGGATATTGTGATCATCTTTATATCCTCATTGATATTTTTCATGTTTTTATCCAGCTTGATTATCGTGCGTCTTTGTTTAATTAAATGCAGTTGGAAGCATTAATTCATCCATTCTTTGATGAGCTTCGAAATCAAAGTACCCGCTTACCCAATGGTCGCTTTTTGCCCCCTCTCTTTAATTTCAAGCCTCATGGTAAGTCTTTTGTATGAAGTAGACTTCTGCAGGTCTTATTATCATCATCAAATCTGTTGGCCTAGAAGGAACTCAACATATTTATTTGATCGTAGCTTTCTTCCATAATGAAAGCTCTATCTTCCTGGTTGTTAGTAATCCTTTTGTGACAACCAGAGTTGAAGGGTGTGCCAACCGAGATGGTCGCAAAGTTGATTCCAGAGCATGCAAGAAAGCAATGTGTCGGTTTAGGATCACAAGCTGGCTGAAATAAAAATGACCTGCGAATAGCAGATGCCCATTTGCCCCAGGAAAGATATGCACTTGTTATGATTGGTGAACGATGTACACAGCATAAGTGAATGCTGTTTCCTATGGTAACAGAATCCCTGCCCCTTCAACCAGATAAAGAAGTCTCTGTTCATCTTCCATAGTCCTAGAAGATCTTTGGCTAATGCCGCACAAAGTCAAATGTGTAACATCTATGCATGTTTAAGATTGCACTGATCTGCTTGAACCATGGATCAGAATGTTCTTTTCTGTTCTGCTTCAGTGTGATTACCATGTTGATTTGTAGTTGGTGAAATGTCTACTGATGCATATATCCGACATTGTTCAGGTCTTTGATCATCCTGCTGGCCATAGCAAACCTTCTGTATAACTTGTAATTTCTTTCTGTCCTTATCGCTGAAATATAATCGTTGTAGCCATTGTCAAAGACATGCTATGGCAATTCCAATTCTTTAAAAGCATATCCATACTCATTGCAGCTTTTCATGCTCCTCCTGGTTTCAAAAATCTCAATAAAGTTGCCTTTTTTGTGATGCTCTTCCTATTCAGCAGACAAAAAGAAAGTTTTATTTCTGCTCACAGAACACCCCAAAAGACGTGTTCTGAAGCTTGAATTCAAGCAACAAGCGCTAGCTGATAAATATTAGACAACTTAGACTTGTTTGCTTGGCCAAAAGAAGTAGATTGACAACAAGCATTACCCTTGTTTTGTGTATGTGTTTTTTTCCATCCATGACTGTAGCTAACAGGAAGACTGCTCCCTGTTTTGCCCTGATAACATTTCAGATTACCTGCCTGATTTCTTTTTACCTTTTGGCATCAAGGATTCAGAGTTTAGTTCCTATTCTCTCTTCTTCTTGTCAGATAGTAAAACTTCACACATCAATGTCCATGGAGCATCTGAATACCCATCTCGGTTGTTGCTCATAACCACATTGCAAATCGGCAGAGGCAAGTCGTAATAGTTCATGATCTCAGAGTCATTCAAGTGCCAAAGGTTTGGAAAAACTGGGGCTTGACCACCAAATAATAGATGACAGTTCCTCAATTTCAAACATTTTCATTCAAAAAATGATAAGTATTTTCATGATTACAATGGTTTGAACCCGAATGCAGAAGTTTATCTGTGAAGTGAAGAAACAGAATCAGCTTCATGCCTGGTCCAGAAGACTGCAAGTGAATTCAGCATTTTTCAGTTCCAGCTTCTCCGCCTTGGAGACAACATCTAAAGAAAGCGGCCTATAGCTCCGATCTGGGCCATAGAAATGTGGAAAGTAGGTGTCCTCAGCAGCTTCATATATTAACTCCTCACCAAGCTTTAATAGTAAAATAAAACCTGTGAGCTTGTTGAAGCTACAATTCAAGTTGTGTGATGATTTTATCTTATAGGGCAGTATAAAATGGCAGGTAAATATCCATGTACTCAACACAAAATAGTTATGACATTATGATTTACCAATTTTTTGTTGCATATTATAGAAGATAGAAGATGTTAAAACATCATAAGAGACATTGTGAAATGCTATTTAAAAAAGAATTAAATAATAATAATAAAAACAAGATAGGTTTGTGGCATTTGCATGGTACAGTGTTTCAAAATTTGGTTTTAGCATCAACAAATGTAATCTTAGGAATCACTTGATCAAGCTGACCTCCAGATTGCAATGTTAGAGATTGTGAGTACACATATGACAGTGTAAAATTAAATTATCTACAAGACCGTGTAGTAGTTAACTATCTTAAATTTAGTTCCCAAAAGCTAGATGAAAAAGAAAGAGCAATACAGTACAGGAGATCTGCCCAATGCAATGAAGCAGAGTGCAGTGGAATAAGTCCTCCAAGAAAATTACAAACATGTGGATATTCTTTTATCAAAAGTATCCTATGTGGTAATTTGCCTGAGACAAGTAATCATTTCTTTCTAGGCTGTGAATCAGAACTTCAAGGCAGATTTTGATAAAAGGTAATCTGAAGTACCATCAAATGTTTGGGAGATCTGGAGAAAGAATAACTTGAGAATGTTTCGAGAAGGGATGGGATTAGTTGGTATTGGCTGTTGCTGGAGAATATGATTCCAGTGGAATTTGTATTTCTGATGAAAAAAGAAATACTGTAGACATTGAAAACAACAGATTTATCTCAAAGCCACTTACAATTCTGATTTATTGTGTCATGTCAGTTTAGAAGGATGTTCTCTTTTGTTTGGCTTGTCCAGTTCTTTTGTCAGTCTTGCATGCAAGGGAGGGTGTTTGATTGCTGTTTGCTTTCAGCTCATTTGCAGGAAGCTTGCTAGCTTCATGTTTTGTATATACGGCACTCATATGGCAGAAATTGAAAAACTAAAAGTGAAGTATATTCAACCTAGAAACTAAAGATTGGTTAATGCATGGGGATATCAAGTAAACAAACTGCACATGGAAGAAGACAAGATCAAGGTATCCAATAGAATTTTTTTACAGGGAACACATCCAATATGACACAAATTTATATCGGATCACTAGTTCAGGTATCTAAATTAAGTTTCTTATGCTTGTGATCACATAGATTAGATGCTTGAAGGTGCAGTGGAAACTAAAAGCTGCCCATGAACCAAAAGTTCCTATTATGATGATCAGACCTGAGGATCTAAAACACAAGCACTGGCATCCATGTCATCTTAGATACTTTGATTTAACATAGGACATAGAAGTGTGTTTTTATAACAGAGCTAAAAGTTGGCGATTAAATGTAGTAGTTGTTGCTGTTGTACAAACTCTTCCTCAAATGATGAGTGCATTGAGTTTCAGTACACTTCAAAATGCAGCCTCGCTACATGTTTACTTTAGCATACCATGCGGCAAGTCTCCAAACACAACTTCATAACCATGGTGTAAGAAACAGTACAACCTTTTCAATTATGGCAAAATTCCATTTCATGGCTTCAGCATTCATGGCAGAAAAATTAGTTAAAGTGAACAATGAACATATGTATACATGATACTTGTAGATGAACCATTTGTCTTAAGAATAGAACGGATGTGCTGCATCTAATCTTTCTAAAAGAGCTAGGATCTCAACCACCCATGTCTATATTCAACAAAATAAACTATTTGCCAAAATTGATCAAAGACAAGGACAAATTCGATTGTCATCGAAAGTGCTCGTGTTCGACTAAATCTATATGTCAATGACCAACAAGTCAGCCAGAAATTACAAGTTCTAAAGGCCAACATTTATTTCAAACATCATAGATGATCCATATACCCAATATTCCAACAAAGTAATCGATGGGAAGGCCATATAACACATAACGCATATATGCCCAGACAACAGAAACGTTTTCATCAGAAGGTACTGTAGGTTTTGACAAGCTCTTCACCAAATAATCGGTATTAATCCATCATATGACACAAGCATCCAGGGATTAGGCGAACGATTAAGGTGACCATTATCTTATCACAAAAAGAGTTCGAGTCTTGTGCCCTAACTTACCTTGGTCGCGTCGATTTGGAGCAAGTAAAGGTCCTCCCTACCGCGGAAAAAGTTGTTCAGAACCATCCTCACCTGCCCAAGATTGAAACTTTTAAGCAATTTCATACATCAAAAAGATCAACAGCGAAAAGAAAACGAGACGATCAGATTTCTTTGTTTCACTTTCTGCGAATTTTCGGGTTCCGCTGTACCTACCTGATCAAGGTCACTGAGGTGAATACATCCAGTTCTTCGGTCGAGACTTCCGCCCAGAGTGGCGCCCGTCCTCTGCAGCTCCTCCCATTCTCCCGAGGTGCTCACTCTGTAGACGAACCCGTCTTTGGGGACTCTCTTCTCCATTTCGTTGGGCTCTCTTCTCCGTTACCCACAACGACCAAACTACATCAAAACGTGGGATGACGATCAAAACGGATACCCGTTTCACACTTCGATCCGACCCATTTCTCCGGTCGCGGATCCATACAACAGGGTTCAGCCGGCCGATTAGCTTATCGAACTCTTATACTTGATTAAACTGGATCCGATAAACGAGTGTACACGTGTAATCCTTGTAATGTCTTCTTCGCCAGCTTAAAGGAAATCGGATCTACACGTGAAATCCGACAAGGATCCGAAAAAGAAATCACATGTACAGTATACGTGATATTTACGAAGACTATTAACATCGCCTTCATATCATTAAGCTATATATATATATGTGTGTGTATAGTTTTGCGCGCAGTTGTAACGAGGTCTCAGGTTTTAACCTCCGGTCGAGTGAGGAGATGATGGCGACGGCGCTCACTTCTCCGGCAAAATTGAGGGCTTTCGACCCCTTAAGACCTTTTCAGGTCGGTTTCTCCGTCCTGGTTCCCAACCCCACGTATCCCATTTCATCTTCGAGAGCTTCTCCGATCAACGGAAGGCTCGGAGGCGCGACGATTCGCTCGCTCCGCCCGGTGATTATAGCCCATTCCTCTCCAGGTACGTCTCAAAGATGTGTTTTCGCTTGCGACCGTGACGAGATTTGCTGGTTACGATGAATTCTTCTTTGTCCCATCTGATTCTTGACTGCGTTTGAAGCAAAATATACTCCGGACGCTAAATTTTACAAGATAGAAGCGATTATGAGGTAAGGTTTTGAGCTTTCTGTTCTCGATGAGGCTTGGAACTGTGTTTCATGGACTCGCTTTAAAAAAATTGTTCTTTGTGTGGTCAAACGGGAGTTCAGGTCATGGAGAGTTCCTCATGTTTCATCGGTAAGATAAAAGAGGAACTCCTGTATGGTTTTGATTGGTTTCAGAGAGCTAGGACTTAATTTTGTCATGACCCAGGGTTTGCTGCAAATGGGAATTCGGGGAGTTACAGTTTCTGACGTTCGAGGTTTTGGGGCACAAGGTGGCTCAACAGAGAGGCATGGTGGTATGTTCCTGTTCAGTGCTGCGGTCTGGTTTATCGTTGGTTTGACATGACAGTCATTCTGTCAATTCAGCTTGTTGGTTTCGGTTGTTTTGATCGAATATGTGCATTCTAGTCTTCTTGTTTTGGTCATTTGCTTTGACTATGCAGTCGAAGGGTAGTTGCTCACCAGACATATTGCTAATATGTGCAAGACTAAAATTTCTTTTATTTCAACTCTGCATACTGGTTATATTTCTTTGTCTAGTCAAATAGATTCCTGACTGGTCTGGATCTCTGCTTTTGGATGTATTCTGTTTTGCTATCTTAATATCATACTTCTGTTTAACCAATTGATTGATTGGTACTTAAAGATGTATGTAATCCGGATCTTGTTGATGTCTAACTCCTAGTCTACCAGAAATTTCAATTAATAAAATCTCCTACTAAAGTACTTGGATGTGTATCTATCATTGGCTGAAAAGAAATTCTTGTATGTTATTCTTGTTATGCAACATCTGGAATTAGTCTTTATGGTTCTTTTTAAACTACTATTGCAAAAGAACAATTGTTGTCACCCTGAAAATGATCTGCTTTCTTGCTGACAAAATGAGTCAAAGAGCCTGCTTAGTTAGCATATTTGAGTTAAACCAAGTCCATTAGTTAACTTAGTTTAATCAATAGTTACCTGATGGAGTTAAGACCAAATTTAGTGGATGGACAAATGGTAATAGTATGGGATGCCCAACAACATAGTGGTGGAACACATAGCAACATCATAGATAGTTCATCAAACATGGTGGAACACTTTCTTACACGATAAGGTGAGATATGTCAGGATACTCAGCACAGGAAATATTTTAGGAAGTTATAGTGTCAATTTATTAAAAGGCCTCCTGGCTTTACGGCCTTTACCAATAGGGATCCTGCATGTCCATAAGAATGCGACTCTTATCTTTGTATCACATTTTCTGGAATTTTACATAGTTTCTTTTCTGTTATAACAATAGCATAAAAGTAGAAGTTAGCCTTAGTCTTAGGCTCTTAGCCTTGGTATCATCCATAGTTTTCTAATCTGAGCCTCAGGCAAATAGAGTGAAGTCATTGCTGGAGTTTCTTCCTCTTTGCTGGATTATTTGATAGCTCCACAATGATAGCTGTTCACTTGGCAAGCAATTAAAGAAGTTATAGTGATGGTTTGATAGGCTGATTGGCATTCCAACAAGCAAGGATGTGGTTATTGGAGTGAACAACAGAGGCACGTTAAAAACAGGCAAAAGACTGATAAGTTAGATTCATCATTAGAAGAGGAATGAAGATAGAAATGGATGAATTGAATAGCCTTTCCTTGCTTACATATTCTCCATTTCCTTCTAACTCATAATTTATGCATATGCTGTGTGGTTTCATTATCCATCTGTTGTTCTCTCCCTTTTGTTCAGTAGCATCTCAGTGGCCTCAATCTATGCTGGAGGTCCATTTTAATTGATCCTGTATTTGGGTTTGCGCCAAATAGATGGGATCCACATGGAAATTTGATGGTAGTATTTCCTAGAAGTTTAAGCTATTAGGTTATAAGACAATACTTCTTTTCTAATATGATGCATATACTTTTTTTCTCTTATTGTCTTGTATATCCTTTTTTTTTCTCTTATTGTTATAAGACAATATTTCTTTTTTTTCTCTTATTGTCTTGTATATTTTTTTTTAACAAGATGGAGAGATTGATAAAGATACTATTCATAAAGTAAAAATACGATGATTAAAATAGTGAGGGATATCAAGAGTCTTGTATGATTATCAGATACCTTCGAAATTAAAAAAAAAATTATAAGCTAGTTGTGAGACCAACAATGTTTTATGGATCTGAGTGTTAAGCAATTAAGAAACAATATATACAAAAAGTATGTGTTGTCAAGATGAGAATGCTGAGTTGGATATGTAGAATTACTAGGAAAGATAATTTTTTTTTTTAAATTCGTGAACAACTAAGTATCGTTTTGATGGAGGATAAGATAAGAGAAAATCATTTAAGATGGTATGAACTTGTGCTTAGGAGACATCCGGATGTGGTGGTATTTAAGATGGTATGAGCATATGCTTAGGAGACATCCAGATGTGGTAGTCAGAAGAGGTGCAATGATTAATGTTAGTGATACGAGGAGAAGTAGAGGAAGACATAAAAAGATCGTAATAGAAACTATAAATAAAGATTTAAGTACTCTAAACTTAACTAAATATATGATTTTTTATAAATCTCAATGGTGTCAAGAGATTCATATGGCCAATTCCAAATTGTTGGGACTTTCGGTTTTCCTGTTGTTGTCTTGTATATCCCTTTTTTCTAATTTTTAATTAAAATTCTGAAATTGGATCAAAACTGTGAAGCTAACACCAACTGCTGCAACTGATATTCTTCGCTCACAACTGGAAAAGAAACCCAAATAAATTTTGTGGCCTTGCAAACAGGCACAGTCTTAGAAGCACATGGTTGGTTCCATTCATGACAAGATTGAGCTTCTACCGCATGAATTTCAGCAGCATTAAATGAAATATTGACATATTATTGATAAATTATAATCATCAAGTATAAGCTGTAGGATTTGTAATTCTTTTATATTGAGGCAAACAGGGGTTTCACATTCTATCCTGTCCCTTCCTTTAATGTAATATTTATTATACTTCGCAATCTTGCAAGCAGCCTAGATATAGAACAACATGTAGCATATCAGTATGTGATAAAGATTAAAAAACCTCATTCATGTTCTTAATGAACATCATGAGGATTTATGAAAAAAGAAGGTGAATTGGAATGCAACAAAGTTATTTAATATGATTTCCTAAAGTTCCATGTTGTTTAGTGTAAAGATCGGTAGTCCTGTAAGAGCTGCTGTTTGTTGTCTGCTTGTTTTATTATCAAGCTTTAGAAAGAGCTATCAATTGTGTGTAATATATGTAATTCTTGAATCTTCTGTTGATTTGGTTATGGATTATTTAACACGAAGCAAGAATTGAATTCTTTCTAAAAACTTTGCTTATATATGCTATTGTACTTACTGGGAAATCTTAATATTTAAGCATGTGCCTGTTCCTGGTAATAAATTTGTTGCTCTGAATTTTCAGGTTCTGAGTTTTCAGAAAACAGCTTCATAGCTAAAGTTAAAATGGAGATAGTGGTGTGCAAAGATCAGGTAGATAAGTAGGTTAGACATGTATCCTTTTATGTTGTTGATTATGAGATCAAGATGAAATATGATGACACTTATGATAATTTTCCATATCTAGGGTGCTACATCTTATAATCTGTAGCCATGAGTAGATATGATCACTTTCTGACTGCAATTTATGCAGTACATATAAAAAGGACGAGAAAAACAACAACTATGGAACTATTATGCATGTATCTTTACAATGAAAATGACATGCTTTTACTGGCTGAAATGCCTTGAACACTTGGGTTAACATGAGAATAATGAGTTTTCAATTTTTGTGGTTGATGCCATAGAGATTTAGTTGAACTACATGATAATAATGTGATTTCAGAACTTGGTGATGTTTGGGACATAAATTCGGTTGAACCTGCCTGTGTCAAACCATAACCGCATAGTAGTTGGTAGAAGATTTAAAATTATTCTTGTTCTCTAATGGAGAGATGTTTAAAATCATTTAGATTTTTTTTTTTATCATGCGACCTCTTCTATATTTTGTATTTAATGATGTTATTTATTCCAATTAATTACTGTTGCTCTTTATAATATGGTGATGGCATAGGTTGAAGCTGTACTTGAGAAAATAATTGAAGAAACAAGAACAGGAGAAATTGGTGATGGCAAGATTTTCTGTAAGATTAATTTCTCTGTTGCAGTTTAATTCTGATAATCGTGGGTTTCTTTATCTTATATATGATATACAATCCTTTGAGTTATTATATATGAGAGAAATTAGGGTCCACTATGGTTAAGTGTGCTAATTTCATGTTGTGAATTGATTTGTGACTGGCTGGCACATCACACATCCAGGGTGGGATCAGGAGTGGTATGCTTCCGGATTTGTGGTGACTCGTGTTAAGTTGTGCACCGAGTCATGTTGTGCAGCAGTTCTTTTTTGCAAAACTACCTGGATAATTCTCATCATCTGCTAGTAGTTCCTTAGTTATCTCAGCCCCCAGGGACAGATGAAGTACTTGGTTGTTAGGATTCTTTTTCAGTGAGCACTATAGATGCTTCAGATATGGAATCAGTGGAGAATGTAGTTTTGTAGTTTTTATCGGAAGTTTTAAATAATCTTCATGAACTAGCACCATTTAGATCTGTCTACTTCATTTATTTTTGCTTATAGACAATTTGCTACTTCAACTACTTAACATAAAGTTGAAGTAGCAAATTGTCTCCTTGCTTGTACAGAAAACTTGCTTTATTGAAATTGAGTTGCCTCATGTAAAAGAACTTTATGTAATCTTCTTGAAACATGAGAAGTGAAATTGAGTTTCCTTAACTTCTGTTACTTCAACTGCCTTGCAAATCTGCTTGCTTATACAAAAAACTTACTTTATTGAAATTGAGTTGCCTCATGTATTCTGGATGCCAAAAGTTGTTTTTTCCTTAACTTGGTCTTAATAATGCTCATGTTTCAATTCTAGTCCATATTACTGTGTGAATAGACCTTCTTTGTGCTGAGTTCCTTTCATAATTGTTTTCTTCTAACTCATAAGAAAATGATTTTAAATTTCAAGCTGGATCTGTTCTTAGATTGTTCAGTTTGCATTGTTGTTAAGGCATGTATACTATGATTGTCTATTTGACATATTATATCTATTCATTACCGCAAACAGGTAAGTATTTTACATAACTTTTAAAGGACATGAAACTTGGAACTCAGAATTTAGAATTTTTAAAAGAAACTAACATTTTTCTATTATTTTTTTGTGATTTAATTGGAGATTTATTTAATGCTGATTTAGAATCTTAAAATTTTCGGAAAATTCGTATGGGAAGGGTTCTTAGCTAGATGTTGTGACTTATATCTTCAAAAGTTACCATTCATAATAAATTTTAGCATGTCATTATGTAACAGCAATGATTTTTCAGCGAGTTGTTATGACTCATAATTATACTGGAATTTGTTGTATCACAATGAAATTTAACTTGCCGAATTTGCATAGACCTTCTCAGCAAATTAAAGATAACTTAAAGTCGATAACTTCAGGCTGAAATCTGAACATTGTGCATTGCATCTGTTTTAACTTTGATTTCTTTAATCTGTGAAATTTAATCTCATTGTCACTTGTCATTATTTATAAGATTGGTTTTCAATAGTTACAATTTGAATTTTTTCTTCAGTAAAAACTTCTTATGAGATTTCATTTTTTTCAGTGGTACCTGTTGCCGACATAATAAGGATTCGTACTGGTAGGACATGCAAAAAACATTGCTCTACTTTCCTTACATGCTACTCATTTATTTTCGAGTTAATGCAGCTCAAATTTGGCCTTTGTAAAGGAAAAAAATCACCCAAGGGATGCTCATAGCTTATCTTACCTCTTCTTCATGCATATTTTTATGTTTTCTGACTGATTATTTAACTTCTCATTATAAAAAATGTCATAAAATGCTTATCCCATTCAATCTAAATTACTAATACATAAAGTTAATATTCTCTCCTATTTGGTCTCCAATCCTCAGGTGAGCGTGGAGAGAAGGCTGAAAGAATGGATGGTGGACTAGTAGACATGATACCTACTTGACAATTTTATGTTGTTGAAAGATTATGAAGGAATGGTAAGATAACAAGTCAGAGCATGATTTTTCTGTTATGATTTTTGTCATCATTCATTAATTTTCAATATTTAATGAATAGGAAAATGTAAAATTTGTAAAAAAAGAGGAAAATTTCATGCATCTGCTTTTGAGATTTATGTTGTATCATAGGATCATATCTCGAACCTTCAGGGATTGCCATTTGTTGTAGTAAAATGTATTTGGCAGGTTATGCACTTTGATCGAGGAGCCAATTCATCAGATGCTGAAGATACAAGGCTGCAATTGCATTTTTGCTACTTTGCAGTGAGCTCAACATGGACATCAGTTTTCTTTGAGTTCATCTTTTCCCTTTAAACTAGTGCCACTTGGAATTAATTAGATATGCATTTGTTTATGCTTTCTGAAAGTAACATGCTTGATTAATGGAGAGCTTATTACCATGCATGTTTAAGACAAAAGGGGACCAAATTATATCTTCAAGATGAGTATGCAAGGGATGGTATATCTGTTATATCAACATATTTGTTATATCCATGCAATAAAATGTCATGTTCCTTTCATGTTTTGTTATATCAACATATTTGTTGTGTGTGGGGATACATGTCATGTATCCATATCCAGTTATAATAGCTTCCATGAATGGTTACTTGGAAGAATGTAATGGTGCCAATTAGGTAATTGGAATCTAATTTGGTGTTAGTTTGGCCCAAAAAACAATGAGAAATTTTGATGATTTAATGTTGAGAAACACAATTTTTAATATGTTTTTGTAATTATTCAACTTGGTCATTCTCTCTCTGCCAAGGCTTAGCCTCAGGAAATCATTAGTATTAGATTAATTGGAATTATATTCAATTAAAACTTTATGCATCTTATATGTGCATGTGGTCTACTGATCCACAAGCATCAGCTTACTGATCATCCAATAACAGTCACCAACAAAAACTTGGGATAGGGAGATATTATAAAATAAGAGAGAGAGAGAGAGAGAGAGAGAGAGAGAGAGAGGTAGATTTATGATGCATTTATTCCAGTAGAACGATTCAGTAGGAAAGCAGACAAAACATCGGACAGAAGTTAGCCACAACCACAGCTAGTTGGCCAACAGCTTCTCACCAATGAGATAGGAAACATAAGCATCAGTAGCAGCATAAACAATCTGATCATGGCTCAGATGCTTTGCAGTCCAGTCACTGCAAGTCACACTTGCAGGCTTATCGATAGATATCTCCACAACAGAACGAGAGAGATCCACCAGACTTTGTCCGGCATTCGGACCATACTTCTTTGCAGCAAGAGGAGCAAGCTCCACCACGTTATGAACTCCCCAGCCGTAGTCCTCCCTAAGCTTCTGAGCATCTGAGGTGATGCCAACTCCAACGAAATCCACTGTTGGGTCTGCAAGGAAGCCCGCCAACGATACTGGAACGTAGTCCAAGTGATGCAGCTGAACGATGAGACACTGAGTGCCACTGCAGAGCTGGAGCAGTGCGACCTTGCCATTACGGTCGGAAGAGAGCCACTCGATGTCAAGGCCTACGACAAGCTTAGAGTAGCCGCTGGCAGACCTCAGAGCAGGTAATTGAGCTAGCACAGTGGAAGCCACGCATGTGACGGTGACCGTCACATGGGAACCAGCAATGTGAGCTCGCACTGTGGAGGTCATGATCCGAGAGCCTTGAAGAAGAAGAAGAAGAAGAAGAAGAAGAAGAAGAAGACGACTTTTGATCGATGACAACATGAAAGATTCGGGGGGTACTTATAGGGAGCCCATCCATGTCGTTTCCAAGGTGGAGGAGTGGAATGACGAGATTTGGAAGAAGCCGACGAGTCGTGTTAGCTGGAGGATAGACGTTACGGTGGCTTGGGAACTCTACGCACCATGAATGCAACCTGAATGATCCTGTCGATAAAGCTCATGACATTGCAGGGTATGAACATTGGAAAGCAGATGAAACCGTGATAACGCAGTGGAAACTGTAATGACACATCTATTATGATAAAATCATATATCTTAATTGTATAATCACCATAGCTAATATTTATCGATCTTATTAACTATTTGGGTTAATTACCTTTTACCTATTATACCCGGATCTTATTACCTTTTAACTATTTGGGTTAATTACCGTCGAGATGCTCAGGGCATCATTGTTGTCCCGCTTTGGCTCTTGGCATAGCGAGAGAGATCGTCGTCGAGATGCTTAGGGAGTGATCGTCGTCTTGCTTGATTCCTGGTGTAGCGAGAGCGACCACTGTTGGGATGCTCAAGGCATGGTTGTCATCGTTGTTGCCACCAAGGTTATCCTCCTTGCAGTCGTGCAACCCAACACATCGACTTGACAGTCAAGCAGAGAGGACGAGGCCCAGCGCTTATTGACGAAAGGGGGAGAGCTTCTATAGTGATTTGATGCTATGCATCCACTTCCACAGTAGCATGAGCTGGGCCACCTAGAAGAGGATGAAGGTGGCGAGCTTCAATTGCGAGATGGTGAGCCATGGGAGCGACATCACGTAAGGGGTCAATTGGAGGGAAGTCGGGAGAAGGAGGATGCCCTAGCTGTCGATCCAAGTCTCGCTGTCGAAACCAACCGTAGGCAACGAGTGTGAGAACAAGGACGATGTGGGTGAGGTGGCATGGGCGAGGATCGAGAATGGGATGCCATGGTAGGTGCTGAGTTGCCTCGCTACGAGGAGGGGCTGCACTGACCCTAAGCATCCCGATGATGTAACAAGACGCGAACCAAGAGGCAAGGCAACTAGGCCTCCCCCTCTTTATGAGAGCCTTCGCCTTCTCGATCTCACCGACACCTCCGTTGAGCTTATCTTTGACTATGCGGTCTCCAACCCTATCCAATGACCGACAACACACTCACCAAGTTGCTCATCGTAAAAAATAAAAAAAATAATTTTATCTTTTTATCTATGAAAAAAAATAATTGATGAAAAAAAACATACTGTATTTTTCATCAATATAACTGACGACGTTATAAGATAAATAAGATTATTTATTTCACTTTTAAAATTATAAAAATCTCAATATAATTTTTTTAAACACAAAAACCACAATCTAAGTACATGAGCTGCAATTAACCCTCACACATAATGGTAATCGTGTCATTCACAATTTTCACTTGGTCGAATCTTATTAAAACAAAAAAAAAGACCCCGTCAAAAGTTAATTGCTACTTTTATACTCTTATAGTATTAATATGCCACGGTTCAAAACATGCAACAACGACGATACGTCTGATTCTATACGAGGAAACTCCAATATCACTAATGCTTTCAAAGATTTGTAGGAACGAGCCAGAGAATTGTGTACCACCCATAAAGCACGGAATGCAATCACAGAGCAGGCACTTTCAAATGTCAGGATAATGTTTCAACTGATGTAGTATTGGGTCTGCACATTACCAGCATATGCAGAAAGAAATGTAGTATATGGCTGAAAAATTAATCTTGATAATTGCAGAAGCAAGTACATTTAAACGCATTAGGTATCAATTAATCATGCCATCGCATGACCAGATTAACAATTTACAGCACAATGTTTACCGATACATTGGAAAGACTTAAACAAAAGCTCAATGATCCCACCCGGAAGGCCGCTTTCTTTCTCTGGGTCTATCTCGAGAACTGCAATCAAGAAAAACAACCGATCAAAAAGAATCGACATATAATACACAGGAGCAAAAAAGTTATTTTCTGAAGTGCATAATCGGAACCCTTAACCATGGTATAAATCTTAAAAGGCCGATATTTCAAATTTCATTTACCAACTTTCAGCCACTCTAAATTCTACTGGGTGAAATTTCCTAGAAGGTTTTTAATTGTGAAGCAGAAAGTGGAGGAAAAATATCACGGAACTGAAAATATCAACTCCTCGAATCATCATAGTGCACCAAAAGTAAAACAATTAAAGTCAAGATTATCATGATTTTGCAGTTTGGTAGATGTGTAAATGCATCCTTAAAAATAAATTAAATCAATTTCTGGAGGCTAACCTTTCAGAGCCTTTCTGATTCCCATTCACTATTCTGCTTCCTTCATCGCCAAAGGCAGGAACGGCTACTGACTGTGCTTTAAATGCCTCTCCACCAATTGAACCGCCAGAAACAAAGCCCCGTAAAGCTGGTTTTGTGCTAGAGGATATAGGAACCTTAGAATTAGAAGAGGCAGCAACAAAATTGCTTTTGAATTGTGCCATCATTCCGGTTTTCAATGAATTGACAGCAGCTGACCGACTCTGAACAGAATGAGATGGTGCCGCATTTGCTGACTCAGGATTGTAACCAATGCCAAGTCCATAATCAACACCACGCACACCTCGCCCACTTCCGCTGCCACCTTTTCCTCTGCCTGCCCCTCTCTTTCCACCTGAGAAAAGGTTTCTTCAAATTACTGAAAGTTATGCCAAAAAAATGTTTAATATACTAGAAATCATGTAAAAGTAACAAGCATGGAAACAATAAAAATATGGACTTTCTACTCCTTGGAATCACATGCAGTAATCTATATACACATACCAGATCCTTTTCTTGCATCACGTTTGGCCCTGAACCTCCCATCCTGAATTCAATTGAAACCTCAATGAACATATTTTGCAAAAAAAAAAAAAAGATCTAACTTGACATAACACCTTACAAGCATATACTTGTTCTCGAGAACAAAAGGTTACATGTCTTCAAAAGAAAAAATGAACCAAAGGATACAGCTAGGTTAATATTTCTAAAAAGAATCAGATAGGAAAATCAAACAGCAACACCTTCAAGAAACAAGATGGATGGAAGAAAATTCACATCTGTTTAGGTTCAGAATTTGAGTTTTTAGCTGATTAGTTGATGCATTATAAAACAAATGACATGCAGAATAAATACTCAACAGTGTTCTAAGTGCACACCCACCGACTCCAAACTTTATTTTGTGTCAGCATGCAATTATATTTTATAGAATTAATGTTGGCTTGGGTTTAGCTGGGGAACAAAAAAAGCCGGCATCAGGTTTCATTGTTTAAATAAAAAATCTACTTGAATTTAGTTTGTGATGACCTGGTCGAGTTAGTTTTGAACAAAAGCACAACTTCAGGTTTGATTGTTTGGACTAGGACAGGGTGCATCCAGAGTTACGATGAGTTAGGACAGTCCTTCGACCTGACCCAGCATGCCAAGATGCAGAATTTTACAGAACATGTGCAAATTTGAGGATCCAGTACATGCTCCTATGTTAATTAATCGAAGTCCATAAACGATAAATCAAAATTTTTAAAGGCATACCTTCATAGCAAGATCCATCAACTCTGTAGGGACATCTTGACCAGCAGCAATCAAGCTGTTGACTAATTCACCTGCAAAACGTGCTTCCTTTTGTGTGATAAGTGTGTATGCGGTCCCATCTTTATCCCCAGCACGGCCTGTTCTACCAATCCGATGGACATGCATATCCATATCTCTAGCAATATCAAAGTTAACAACCGATTTAATTGACTTTATGTCAAGTCCACGGGCAGCCACGTCAGTTGCAACAAGGACATGATAAATGCCTGATTTGAACTTTTGTAAAATGTCCATGCGGGAGGCCTGGTCCTTATCCCCATGAAGTGCTGCAACTTTAAATCCTTTCTGAATCAACTGACCTTCAATCTCATCCACTGTAGTCTTCTTCGAGGCAAATACAAGAACATCCCCATCATCAACCATTCCAGGTAGCCTCTCAAGAAGCCAAGGCATCTTCTCAGCATCAGAAGGAATTACATTAACAACTTGAGTAATGTCCTCATTGGCCATTCCCACCTCACCAACTGTAACCCTTGAAGGATCGGAGAGAATTTCTCTTGCTAAACGTTCAACTTTGTACGGCATAGTCGCCGAGAAAAGTAAAGTCTGTCGATCTGGTCTAATTTGACCAACAATAGATCGTATCTGTGGCTCAAAGCCAAGATCAAACATCCGATCAGCTTCATCTAGTACAAGATAAGTTGCCCTAACCATTGTAACAGCCTTCATCTTCAGCAAGTCTATCAGTCTCCCCGGGGTGGCAACAACTATTTCACAACCTGCCTTAAGTTCTTTGAACTGATCAAGTTTGGACACTCCACCATACACAGCAGCAACGCATATTCCGTAAGGTTTGGCAAACTTCTTAGTTTCTAGAAATATTTGATGTGCTAACTCCCTTGTAGGAGCACATATTACGCCTATAGGACCCTCGCCTTTGTCAAGTTCAGGCTGATCCAGAATATGGACAATCATAGGAAGAACAAAAGCAGCAGTTTTACCAGAACCTGTTTTTGCAATGCCAATAATGTCTATACCAGAAAGTACAATGGGCAGAGCCTGACATTGTATTGTTGTTGGCTTCTCATAGCCCTGCTTTGTTATCGCACCCATTAATGCAGTAGGAAACCCACAATCTTCAAAGAGTTTGATTGGCTTCGGCACATCAAAACCTGAGACACGTATAGCTAAACTTTTCCGATATTCAGTGACATCTTGATCACTCATTCCTATAAAAAAAAATATATTAAATACATGATTTAGAGTATCTTTACTATACACTAGCTCTTACATAGCGCCTTGAAAGACAATACTAAGTTAACAATTACATAGCTGATAAGACCTCCTTCTTAGCTTTGGAAACTGCTGCAGACAAGTCTTTGAAACAAGACCGATACACGATGATTTAACTAAAAGCTACATAAATGCTAAAGTGTTTAAGACTTTAAATCTACACCTTTTGAGGATTAATGATGGAATAATAATATTACAGCAGACAATCATAAAATTTATAACCATATGAAGTGACGCTGCTCAAGAGAGGTGGATTTAACTGACAACTAACCTCATGTGAAAGAAATACTTAGTGAAACAAGGAAGAGTCATGTACTTTAAATAGAAAAAAAAAGAAAACATTTTAATATTATTTAAAAGAATGAGCGGCAGAGACCAAACTACTAGTATTACTTCTCATCATAATGTTATTTTCAACATATCTCAGCATCTCAGACAGTTTGATAAAAGCTGAGGATCTTAAGTACATTCTCCAGAACATCAAAATCGAGTTTCATATTGTTTCAGTATCAAAAGTCTATCCTTAGCAGACAGTTTGGTTAGTATATCTCATTCCATGAATCATGTTAAGTTTCAAACACCCATAAAGCCTCATGTTTCAACCTAAATCTTACTTGGCTGAATTACTCAGTAGTATAGTAAAAACTCTAATAACAAGCAGCCATAGGCATCCATTAGCACAACAGAAAATAACATTACAATTCACCCCGAAAAGTGATACTACCATAATTGACCTTAACTCGGTCATCAAGAACAGCAGAAAAGCTACAAACTTTACCTGATATTGAGGGTTTCTCCTCGTAAAAGTCCTTGTTAAAAGGCTCATAGTCTATACTGCTATGGTCCAGTGCCGGAATCGGCTCAATCTTCCTCTTATCCACGACAATGGGATTGTCATCCGAGTCATACTCAATCATCCCTGCATCCACCGCCTTCGCTGCCGCATACACCTCCTCGTCCGACTCATACCCAGCGTGAAGAACCTCCGATGCCAGAGTCAATCCTGCGTCCTTCTTCGACCGCAAGAAGCTCTCGACGGGATCATCATCGTCCTCCTCGTTGTACTTATCGCCCTTATCCTTGGGCTTCGCGGTGCCCGGCGGAGGCGCGCGGATCTCCTCCTGAATGCCCTCCATGAATGCATCGAGGGGGTCGATCTCGCCGTCTCCGTCGCCGGCGCCATCGCCTCCGTTAGGGGGCGACTGGTCGGGGGCGTCAGACTGGTCGTACTCAATGTTGTCAAGGTCAGCGTCCTCGTGGTTGTCGTGTCCACCGACACGGGACGAAGGGGGGACGTAGAGACGCTGCGGTGCCGACGCGCGCTCGAAGTTGTAGGTGGCGGGGCGGTTGATGCCGAACCCCTCGAAGCCAAACTTCCTCTTCGACATGTCGGTCGCGAGATCGTGGAGAGGTAGAATCGAATGACTGGGGCTTGAGTCGAACTCCGGTGAATGGAGGGCGAGGTGGAGAAGCCCTAATTAGAGTTGGAGTTTGGGATCGAGAAGAAAGCTAACGAAAGCGAGAACAGAGGCGGCGAGCGGAGAGGCCACCGACCAATTAGACCGGTTAAGGATTGGGTTAATTGGTCTAGTCGAACCGTAAACTCCTTGAGACTGGCTAATGCATCAATATGAAGCGATGATAAATTAAGAGATCATATTACATATCTAATTTTGGCATACGTGGTACAATACCATTGGCTGTTAGAGGATAAGGATTGTGTGTCCTCCCTGGCTTCTCAAGACCAATTAAGAAATCTCCCTTATCACCATCACTGTTAGTGTAGTCACGGAGAGATTAGCCATGGCGACGGCACCCGCTGGTGTGAGCACCTCCGCCCGAGGCGTCGTCTCCTCGAAGGCGGAGCTCCCAAAACCACAGCTGTCTAAAGGGATGCTCCGCCTTCCATGGGCCAGCCGCCGCCGAGCGTCCTCCCGCCGGCTGGTGCTGGTGGCAAGCTCGCCGTCCACGCCGCCGAACATATCGGAGAAGGTGGTAGAGAGCATCAAGAAAGCGGAGGAGACGTGCGCGGAGGACGCGGCGAGCGGGGAGTGCGCCGCGGCGTGGGACGAGGTTGAGGAGCTGAGCGCGGCGGCCAGCCACGCCAGGGACAAGCTCAAGACCAGCGATCCCCTGGAGGAGTACTGCAAGGACAACCCTGAGACCGACGAGTGCCGCACCTACGAGGACTAGAAGCTGAACAGATGAAGTAGCAACCAACACAGCGAAGAAAGATGCGGTGATTGTTCCTTTGTTGACCTCAGAATCTAAGTCAAGGTTTGATGGTTTGCGTGTGCAGTAGGCTGGTGTTGCATGATGGCTTGTTTAAGGACCCTCAGGTGTTTGATGAAGTGTCAAAATAAGCAGTGTCTAATAGAACTCATTTCTTGCTCTTCAGTTCATAAGCCTTTCTTTATCTTGTGTTATAGTTTTATCCACTTAGGTTTCATCTGCTAATTGAGGGATCTACTTGGAGTTCAGTAGATTTAGATCTCTGTAGAGAAAAAGAACTGAGCTTTGCCAATTATTCCACTGCTTCAGGAATTGTTATTGTGCTTGCTAAACTAGATAAAATGGGCAATGAAATTACCTTCAGGCTCCTGTAATAGCTTCATTGTTCAAGAATTGGGGGAAAGAAGGCCTTAATAGTTAATACCAAAAGAACAATAAGAAAATCAATAATAAAAATATGAACACAGAAAATAAAAAAAGGCAAGATTTTGTGATCCGGCACTCATTGCTTATGTTCACGAATAAGAATCAAATTCTTCGCCAAGAATAAAGTATAAGTTTCTTTTTAGTTAAACCCAGATTTAACATGAAAGCTCTTTGTTTGTTCTCTCACATGTGAGATCCTAAAAATGTTTCTTTTGCTACCAAATGGCAGTAACAGTAGGAGCATACATTATGACCCTTCTATGCTGAGTATAATATTTCAGTGAAAGATCTACATATTAATTGATCTCTGTAAAGCTTACTTAATTGTGAAATGTCAGACTAAAAGAGAAAAACAACTTGAAGAACTCACTTGGCCTTTGTCGTCATTCTCCTTCATAAGCACATGGAGGGTGAACTGACCATGTAATGATTACATATTACCCAGCAAATTGATTGCAGTATTTTCTCAAGATAGCAACTATATTTTGTGCATTTAGAGCTAAGGTCTTTGGTGTTATCCACAGTCTCCATACATGTATGATGTAATTTGCTTTATGAAATATTAACTAAGAGTCTCATTGAGCTTCTCTAGTAGGTAGGCACTTAATTGATTCTTGTTTGAGTTTGGCTTTCAATAACAGGAGCAACATTACAACAAAGACAAACATTGTATACTGAACTACAGCATGAAGGAGCTCACAAACCTAGTTGTATCCATGAAACATAAAGAGCAAAACCTGAACTGGGGAACCCAATGGTTGAAGAAAAATGCTTGCCAGTAGGTTTGACATTAATCATCTAGAACTAGAAATTGTCAGCATTAACCATGATCAGATGCATAGGTCAGGGGAGACGCCTTGGCTTGAGGCATGGTTCAAAAGTTTTGTGTTGTAACAATTGCAGTCTTACTGATCACCACTGAGTACAACAACTGCAGCTTCTCTGTCGATTCAGTGAACTGTGCTCTTGTTCATTAACTGCGATGTTAGCAGAATGACTTGCATCTCATTCTGATTGTTTTGGTTCTTGAAATATTAGTCTTTTCTCCTCTTTTATCTGTCTTTTTCTGGATCTTGTTTTGATATCAGTTGTCTGTTTGTTGAGATGAGATCGATTCATGTTTCAGATTGATATGAACTCCTTTCTGGCAAAAGAAAAAGAAAAGCCTTCAACATTTGGAGAATGTGAAGTAATTTTGATTAATGAGGATGGAAAATAAGATATTTTCTTCTTCTTGATTGATTCTTACTGGCTAAGGAATTGCAAGTTTTGGACTCTAATCTTAATAGAGGATGAAGGGGAGGTTTAAGATTCCTTCACCAGATGTCAACTGATTCCCAAAGAGTGATAGAAGTAGGAAAACTCTAATTGTATGATGTAGGACATAGGGAAGATTCCTGTGATGTTTCGGTTAGATGAAACTTCTTTTGTCCATTTGGGGGCTACAGTTCATTAGAATGGTTAGAGATAGTGGCATCCTTTCCCTCTTTAATCTGTTGGAATTTGTGGCATGATAAAGAAAATTCTTTTTACCACTGCAGAGGAAATTGACCAACATGCTATGTTGCTTTATTGCCTAAAAACTCTTATATGTAAGAACAAGTTCGACAGGAAGAGTGACAGAGACCAAGAGAGTATCGTATTATTGGCTTGGCACAATTTTTACACTTTTGAGTACTCTTAAATATTCTTGTCAGTGATATGAGTAGAACATAATAGCTATGTTCATAATCATATTTTTGTTAATTATACCTACATAAAGAGAAAGTGTTTGATTGCTACTCTCAAGTGTCAGAATCGCATAGCCCTCTGCCTTTGCCTATACCAACTCCTAATGCAGACACCAGGTAATTGGTAAGTGTACTGAAGCTGCTTGTTATGATAACTACAGCTTATCTAATTGCTACTAGAGGTTATTTATTCCATCAGTAAGTTTAGGAGTTTCCAACTGCATGAGATTGAATGCTTTCTTAATGTTGATTGCTCTTAAATTATGTGTTATTCGGTCTTTTTCATGATTCAAATAAAGAAATTAAAATTTTAATTTATTCTTGCACTTCATTGCTTTCCCTCCATTGAATGAAGTTCATGTGCAGTATCAGAAGGTTGGTGGATCAAAGTGGATGATTTAATTGTGGTGAAAGCTCAAGAAGCTCAAGAAAAAAAGAAAACCATAAAAAAAAGATTAATGTAATTAAAAAATAACACCTATGAATTATGATAAACCTTGAAAGAAATATTTTTCCTTTTTGTGGTGGTGAAAGAAACATTGCAAAGTTGATGATAAAAGATTATTTACAATATTATTTAATTAATATGATGAGGCAATTGTATTAGTCACACACCTTGGTAACATTATAACTTTTATTACTTCAGCAGCTCATAGATGATGATTATTATATCAACTTGATGTGAATATTTATGTGAAAGTCATGAAAGTATACTACATAAGTTGAAAAAAACACTTAAATGGATTGAAGAAATGATCACATCTATGGTACAGTGAAATTAAAAGTAAGGTGAATCTACTTTGTACCAAAAACAAAAACATGCTCAAGTATAATCATCATTGCTCTTTATATTGATGATTTTGTATTTGATATGAGTATAAAAATTGAGATTACAAATTAATATTTAGAGATATTTTCAAATAATGCAGCCTTGATTTACTCATATAGATGACCTTGAAGAAAAGTTGATTCCTGGAAAATTTGTGAAGCTGATGATGATACTAAATAATAACTTACTAAAAAAATATATTTTCCCAATTTTTTTAGTGATGCTATCCCATTAGGATCTTTTATATTCTTACGACGATATAGATGTATGTTACAAGTTTTTATTTTCAATCTTTTTCAAACGGATTACGCGGCTGCTTTAGGCTATATACATGGGATTTGATCACACATTCTTATCAAGGTCAACATGTTTATGAGTTAAACTAAATTATAATAATTATTATAATATCATATTATCCTCTCTTTTTTTCATTTAGAGCCTAACATGTGATGATCATGTGTTCGAAAATGAGAAAGAGTCAATTGACAAATATGTCATGTTAGTAAAATCAAAATAAATATTTTTTTTTGTTCGTTGAAAATAGATCGATTATAAAAGACAGAGACAAATAGCTACCCCCTTACTCACCTTAAAAAATAATAATTTTAGTATCCAAATGATAATATCAAAACCCTCCTTGACATTAAGGGAAGCATCTCAAGATCCACAATCAGTAGCCCTTAGTGCTTTGGGCAGCATCAATTCTCCTGATGTAGGTCGGATCAAGACCAAATCAGACTGTTCATTTGTCTGTCTTTAGTTTTGGATCGGGCTCAATTGTAATTCATTAGAAATTCTATTCACATAAATATATATCTTATTCATTTTCTGACTCATCCAATATAAATAAATTATGATAATATAAGCATCCTAATTAATATATATTAATTATATTTATAAAATAATAAAAATGGGAAAAAAATATATTGATGATAATATTATTATTATTTTTGGGTTGGCGCGAGAATATAAATTATCCACCGACACTAATCAAAATAGACCAAACCGGACCCATGCGGGCCGGTGCGCGACGGTCCGGCTTGAATCGTCGTTATAACTAGGGTTTTGCGCCTAATTATTTCATCGTCTCATTCTGGGTTCCGTCGACACGGACCACGTCGATCGCATCCATCTCCGCTCGACGGTCGCCGGAATCGCGGCCGCGTCTCATCCTTTCGGTCGCTTGTTCTTCCGATCTTTTGTTGATCTGATCGTCGTGTCTCGCAAGGATGGTAATTTTTCTCTAGTTTTCTTTTCTCTTTGGTGAATTCTTCTGCGACAGATGTTGATGTTGACTTCTTGCCACTACGCTTCAGCTTCCGCTATCACTTCTCAAGACAGCACAAGGGCATCCTATGGTAAGAGGATCGGATGTCTTTAGCTTCTCTCGTTTTCGTCTTAGGTTTTTTGCTACTTTGTCGGTAGTGCTCGTGTTTGATGTGGCGTTTTGATGGTCATCTTGCGTTGGGGCAGCTGGTGGAGTTGAAGAACGGGGAGACTTACAATGGTCACTTGGTGAACTGCGATACCTGGATGAATATACACCTCCGTGAGGTTATTTGTACCTCAAAGGTAAATGCTTTTTTCTTTCTTATTTTCGTCTATTTTGTTCTTTGTTTTCAGTTTTGGAATTTTGATGGTGTGGCTCATATTCATGTTTCTTATAGGATGTCATTCTGGTTGTAGGATGGTGATCGCTTTTGGAGGATGCCTGAGTGTTATATTCGTGGGAATACCATTAAGTATCTTCGAGTTCCAGACGAGGTATGCATCATAATCTTGTGATAAAAATGTGGATCTGTCTTTCTGTCTTTCCATTAGGTTGTCTGCTTTGCCTTGTCTTTGTTCTTTGGCTACAAGCTATCAGATGTGGTAGATATAGTCCGGATGGAAGTATTCAGATTGAACGTTTTATGCCTGCTGATTGAAGAAACTTTTCTGCATAGTTTATATTAGACTGAATAACAAAGATCAGCTGGAAACTTGCTATAGTTGGCCATGTAATTGGTGCCAGGTCCTCTTTTTTTTTTTCTTTATGGATCTGGAAATGAACACTTGCTAAATATGTTTTGGTTCACAACAAATATATTGTGAGCCTGGGTTGAAACCCATGATCTTTATAACTACTTATGTTTCTGATATAGTTGTATAGATTATTTGGCCTCCTATTAAGGTAGAATTTCAATTAGTTATAGTACTGATAGACAATTAGTGCCTTAGATGGCAATTGCAAAACTAGATGGCAGTATAGGTTGAGAGATTCAGTAGTAGAGGAACAAATAGATAAAGATGAAAAAGAGGTGGAGGCATAGTTGCAATAACTAGAGAAACCATCAATTCATCAGAGCCTTAGGTCACAAAGAGGGGAGAATATGTGGAAGAGGCAGAGGGGGGATGACAAAGGAGGGCAGCAAAGAGAGGAGAGAAGAGGGAGGGCAGTGGTGGTGATAGTTGTTGGCTTTTGAGAGAGGAAAGATAAGAGAGGAGTTGAATAGGGAGGGAAGAGGGTGGCAGCAATGAGTGTTGGCCTCAGAGAGAGGAGAGTAGAGAAGAAAAGGGAGAGTAAACGGGAGTGAGGAGACAGTGGTGGGGTTGCTGGTGAATAGGGAGGGAAGAGGGTGGGAGCCTGATGAGGGGCATACATAACTTCTTGAACTTATTCATAATGATATCACATATCAAGGAATGTCGTTTCAAGTATCAGACCCATATTGGTCCTTGGTCGGATCGATCGGCACCTGTGTACTAACCCCTATACACCAATGTAATGGTGACTCGAAGAGGAAGAAGGAGAATAGGAAGGGGTGATGGAGGAAGAGGATGAGGAAGGAGGATGAAGAAGGAGAAGGAAGGTAGGGGTAGAAAGAAGAGGAGGCAGTGGAGGGAGAGGGGTAGGAGGAAGAGGAGGGAAGTATGCTCGTTGGCGGTGCACAGTTTGAGGTGGACAACTGAAGGAGGTGAGCACTAGCCTTAAGGAGTATTAATTATTTTTTTTAATGGGTCGGAGTGAACTGCCCCTGTGAAGAGAAAGAGGAGAGGAGTAAGTGTACCTATTGGTGGTGCATGCTGAGCAACAAATGACTGAAGGAAGAAAGCCTGAAAAAGGCTCATGAATCGAGCCCTAAAGAACATTAATTAAATTTTTTTTAATAGATCGAAGTGGACTGATCAAAGCTGGGGTGGTTTGTGTACGAGTTCATAATTGGACCGATATGTATCACCCATTTTGTAGTGGTCCAGGTGAAACAGCGGTTCATGATATGTATGATATTCTCTCTCATGGTTGTAAAATATTCTTTTATAACTTTTATTAAATATTTAAAAAATTTCCAATGTATATTTAATAATATTTAAAGATGAAGCTTAAAATATTTATGGTATAAACTTGAAGCTGAAATTTTTTTTAAAAGGAAAATAAAAATGTTCAAATCAAATAGGGATGATGAGTATACCTCTATGCTTGCTAGGTTTTGTGAAGTTCATGGTTTTATCTGTGAAGTTACTGCCTCTTATGCACCTTAATGGAATGGAGCTCTGGAATGGGTAAAAAGAAGACAATGATATGGTTAATGTTCAATTTGTTAGTTTCAAACCTTTTAGTGTATGGGGGTTTGTGTGACTTTCTGCATGTTAAATCTGAGTTCCTTATGAGTAAAGTGACAAGACCTCTTATGAGCTTTGAAAAAATAGAACAACAAGTTTAAAGGTACTTTAGAGTTTAGGGATATCTTGCTAGGCTAGCTATATGTACCAAAATGAGGGAATTAGCTACAAAAGTTATAGTTAGTGAATTTATAGGAAATTCCTAAAGTAGTTAAGCTTGCAGGTTTCTAGTAGTTGAGATAAAAGTAAATTGTATAGATCCGAATAACATTTTAGGGGTTCAAGATGCATCATTTAAAATATCTTTCCTCTTTTGAGTCGGCCCTAAATCTTCATAAAATGAATGTTCTTCTAGTCAGCCCTTTGAGAATACCCTATTATTCTCAAAGGGGGAAGCAGACTGGCTCAAGAGTCTACCTGCAAAAATTCTATTGCATTCATTGCTATAGCTAAGCAGCTTTTGCTATGGCCAAGGGAAAACCCTACAATAGAAAGCCCATTAGATCGATCCACGTGAGGCATGAAAGAATTTAGTTATTGGATCAAGGCTCTATTTTTGTTAATCATGTGTGATCTAATAATAACCTAACTGATTATTCAACTATGGGAATCTTTAGAGAAATAATAAAAAATCAAGGGGAATGAGGTTGGCCACATCGCATGTCATCTTGACAATCTAACCTTGTGATTGGGTACCCAAAGAAAAGGTTCATTCGGTAAGAACAAATTGTTGAGCACTTAAATAATTTCTATAATCATTCATATGATGTGTAGTGCTATCCTGCAATTTGAGAGGAAGAGCTTCACTCTGTCCATAGCCTTCAAAGAGGGTTTGAATGTCCTTGAAGAACTCATCTATATGAGTGTCAAAGTGGTGCTGCTTTCTTTGGGAATTCACTATTCCTTAGAGCACTTACGATGTTGGGATGCAAACCTGTAAATGTGATTGAAGTTGACACTATGCATATTGTATTTGTCATTTCTATGAATAACACTAAGTACAAGTCACCATGAATATTCCTGATTGATTGTAGCGACATACTTGTGACATTAACATTATGCAATTGTAGTGGGCATCAGTCACTTCCACTATTCACAGTTTTTTTATCTATAACTTTGCTTAATATTCTTATTCTTGTCCCAACAAAATATATAATTTTTTGTTGAGATTAAGTCTCAAAATTGGAAGAATATGTACCTTATCCCTATCCAAAGGTTACATATGATGGAAGAACTGCTGCAAGATTAAGAGAACAAGTGAGAGATGTTGGGACCACCACAGATTGATTTGCACAATATCCATGTGCCCACTTTGAACATTCTTAAAACATTCAAAACTGGAGATGTATAAATTATGTATTCTTTGATGATAATCATACGAACAACCCTTCGCTTATGGACACATTTCTTCTTCCACGGTTCTGTTTTTTGAGGCAAGCTATGATATTTCCACAGAACCCTCTATCGAGTGCACAAGGAGGAAGTATTGCCAATAACAATGGAGATTTTGTTGTTCCTTGTGGTGGAAAGTCAATACCTGGATGCACCTTTGGCGGGGCTGAAATGATCCCACAGACGATATTTTTGACATGCTTCTAAACCCCTTTGTCTTTAAGTTATTTTTATTTCACAAACATAGGTTTCCATCTTTCGTGTCTTGTTAAATATATTGTTGAAAGCCACATATTTGTTGATGTTCTTTTCTTTTTTTCCTTTTGGTTTCTTATCTGTGCGAGGTTTCTTTACTACTATATGTAGTAGCTGATGTGTCTGCAATAAGCACTTTGTTAATTTGAATTATTATGGAAATATGTTTCATGACTGACAATTTGATTGATTGTAACTTTTGCTGTTCTAGGTGATTGATAAGGTACAAGAAGAAACCAGCAAGAGTCGCACTGGTAATTTTTTATATTCTTTATGCTTTAGAATTATTTATAAACCTAAGCTACTGTGAGATTCTTGATGTCCATGTTAATTCATGAGTTCATATGATATAATGTGTAGCACATCTTTTTCATGGATGACTACTGTATACCAAAAATAAGGACAGTAGATGAAGAAAATGAAATTGTTGCTCTTTGGGCTCCCAATCTTTTTCATATGATATAATGTGTGGCACATCTTTTTCATTTACCACTCTGGTGGGCAGTTGTCACCATGGACCATGGTGTGTCACAAAGCGGGACATAAATGTCATCCTGTTTTAAGTCTTTTGTGTGAATCTGAAGGTGTGTGAAACATAGCATAGTAGATAATTTCATATTGGACAAAGGTCAAAAACAAAATATTAAGCAAGCCCAACCTCATGGCTAAGGAGCAAACCATATATTGGCAGTCTAATTTCAACTTGAACTGGATAGCTGGCAGTTCTATTTGAGAGTCCATGCAGTCTCGGAATGCAGTTTTTCTTCGTGTTCAACATCTGGTGCTATTTTCATTTCTTGGATGTTCTTGCTGCAGATAGGAAGCCACCTGGTGTTGGTCGCGGAAGGGGAAGAGGTAGAGACGACACCAGTGGGAGGCCTGCCAAAGGCATTGGACGTGGTCAAGATGATGGAAGCAGCAAAGGCGGTGGTCGTGGAAGGGGTGGAGCTGGTGGTAAAGGTGGTGGTGTCAGAGGTAACCATTCACTGATTTCGTCCATGCATTTAATAGTTATCTGGATGATGAACCCAATCGGCCCTTTTTGTGCCCTTTTAATAGTTATATGGATGATGAACCCAATCTGCCCTTTTCATGGTCATGATCTTTTATGATGGACTTCAAATTCACAGGTGGAGGGCGTGGGCGTGGCTGATACAAGTCAGCTAAAGAGACTGCTACTGCAAAGGCAAGTGTCACACTTAAAAGGCTCTTATTGTTTTGTTGCACAGTTTACTTGAATCTGAAGACGAATTTAATGTATTCTGGTTGCGGGCTTTGTGAATCTTTTGCTGCATGATTACTTTGAGGTATGTGGTGGAAGGGCTTTAGATAATCGCACATAAAACTTTGAATTTTTATTTATTTTTTTCTGGTGGATGGCTATACTTTATATTGAGAGATAATTTTGGTGTTCTTTTCTGAACAAAAGTTGTGGCTTTGCAGTTCTAGAACTTGTGACAATCAATGCATATCTTCTGTCTTATTTTACTGAATTCACCATAAAGGCTAACTAGTTCATTCAGTCTACTACCGAGAAGTCTATATAATTACATCATTTGCAAAGAGCTCGAATGCATATTTCACAGATCTAATTCACCATATATATCAAAAATGCTATTTTGTGTTTGCATAATTGTTCTTATTGGACATTAAGCAGGAAGATACTAGATGTAGGGTTTCAGTATTGAGCTCTTCTCTGCCTTATTCAACTTTTGCTTTTTCTTCTTTTTGTGTCAGAGAAAGGATACTTTTATTTGTGGACGAGTTTGATGGGTACAAACAGCTCCTTCAGCACCAGAGCCCAAAATGTCATCTAACACAGTAGAACATGTTGAGACTTATCACTCCTGAGATCTTCTTTTCCTAAAACATCATAGATATAGCTCCTCTCTATTTTTGAGGGAATTAATCCTTTGCTTTGAACATATGAATGAGTTGAATGGAGTCCGATGCATCCATGACTCCTGCAAAGTCCGATCTATTTTGTTATGAGAGATGTGATCTGTAGTTGCAAGACGAGAAAAAAACGATCAGGGAAGTTCATTTTGGATAATGTATTCCTAATGGATCATTTTGATTCATCCACCACTCATTGATAATCAAGATGATATCAACAAATTGTTTGGGGGATAGATGTTGCAGCCCAAACCAAATGGTTTGGGCGATATGAACTTGTCGAGGTCAAACCTCATCCTATTAGCTAATGCTTTGGCTGTTATCAGCTGATTAAACCAAAAACTGGATTTCTTGGAGGTGAAAATAAGATGAGTTTACCCCAGCATAGGGGCAACTTACTCTGTGTGATAAAGGGCTAATCACATAGTTCCATCTATCCTTATAAGACTCTATTAGCTTATCATATCCATAGACTATATTTAAAATTTTTTTAAAAAATTTATATTTAGGATCTATATAGTTTTGAAAGCCAAATAAATAATTTCATTTCGTCAATTGCATGAAAAATATAATCCGTGACATCAAAAAAATAATTTTAATTTTTTTTTTTCAGAGATGTGAAATGTTAAAATTATTATTTTTATTGATAATGTCCTTAAAAAAAGAAAGGATGTTAAAATTATCTTTTTGCCTATCATTTTTATGTCAATACAGTAAGTAATGTCATATATTGTGTTTTCTATCAATATAGTTAAAAGATAAATGAGATTATTTATTTTATTTTTAAAACTATAGGAATATTAGATGCTAATAAGATCCAATTATAGGGGGGTCATATATAATTAGTCGATGAAAAATATAGTGAAAACATCCTGGATTATTTTGTTGAGTACGAATTAGTCTCAAATTTTTTCAAATCAAAGTTCAAATCGAGTTGATATGAAGTTTGATCCTAACTAGTGAAGCAAGAGGTGACTTATAGATAGCAGCCCAATATCAGCATATCACTTCGTCAAGTCCTACTTGCTTGAGATACCCCTTCGCCCAATCACATTAGGAGTCCTTCCATCGCACCAGTGTATAAGAGAGACCTCATGTAGTTGGCCTGCATTTCGATCCTAGATTTAAAAATTTGACATTAAAATTCATATAATTATAAAAGTGAAACATTTAATTTCATTTACTCTAACGTTATCATTTTTATTGACAGAAACATAAAAACGATAAGCAAAAAGGTAATTTTAACATCCTAATTACGTTTTCGATGGTGGCGAACAGCGAGACCGTTGATGACTATTATGGATGAGGAGGGAGAGCGACGATGAGAGGTGATGCAAAAAGAGAGAAGGAAGAGGATGACGTAGATGTTGATTTGCATTTACATTGGTGCTCCTCAACAACTACATCGATGCTGACACAAATGTAGAGCGGATAAAGGATCGTTCGGTATTTGCATTGACGTTGACATAGATGCAAATCGATGTTGTTTTGCATCTATTTCTACGTTGATGTTGATGTAGATATCAAACTATATTATGCATCTGCATTTACGTCGGTGTCGACATAGTTGTCGAGTGGTGTCGACGCAGATGCAAAACATTGGCATATGCATTGTCGTCTTCTTCCTCTCCTTTTGTCTCATCTCGTTGCTTTCCCTCCTCATCCACAATAACCACCCGTGGCCACCAATGACGTCATCGTCCGTCACCACTAACGTCGTCCGCCACCATCCAAAACGTAACTGAGACATTAAAATTATTTTTTTATCTATTATTTTCGTACTTTTGTCAGTAAAACCGATAGTATTAAGGTAAATAGAGTTAGATATTTCACTTTCATAATTACAAAATTTCTATTATAAATTTTTAAAATTTAAGGATCAGACTAAAAAGTCTAATTACTACTTAGCCTCGTATAAGATATAGAGGCCGCAGCCCTTTAGAAGCTGTTGGTAGATCACAACCTTCTTAAGTCGCAGGCTTCCCGGCAAAACCTGCAACTTCCTCATCTCTTCTTCCATAGTAGCAGTTGGTTTCTCTTCAGCGGTGAGAAGAGGAGAGAAGAAGAAGAGACGACGAGGGGAAAAAGATAAGACAGTAAGTGGCAGCATCACGTTCGATATGCTTTCTTCTTGATCGGAGCCTCCAGGAGAGTCTGAGAGAGATCAACTAACGTCAAACGCTGTTGCACCTTCTCCGACGATCATCAGCATTAAGAAGACGTCCGGCCTTCTTCGCCGATGAGACCAACAACCCCTCAGGCTTTTCTATCGACTTAAGAGCCTGTGTTCTTGCCCAGAAGGGGAGAGGAAGCAAGGGCGGCGCTACTGCGCTGTTTCCAACAACTACCGAGTTTGTTCAGCTTTCCAATTGGATGCCGAAGCTATTCCCTCCGCGGGCAACATCTTCTTCAACATCTCCCAACAGCCTCGGCCCCATTGAGAAGCTATCATCCCCCCTTCGCTCAAGAACTCTTTGGTCTTCTTTAGGTAATTTTAATTCTTTGTCAAATAGATTAATATTTTCTTTCAAAGCTATATTTATTATAATAAAAGTATAACTGTTTCTGTCAAAACATTTCAAACTAATTATAAATTATCCCGCATTAGTTATCTTTAACATCTCGATCCTATTGGAATTCATATTTACAAAAATAAAATATTTAATCTTATTTTTTTTCATATCATCAATTTTATTGATAAAAATATCATACATATTGATAAAAATATCATACACAATGAATGATAAACTCTAGTGTATTTTCATCAACAAAGTTAATGACGTGAGAAGAAACAAAATTAACTTTTAAAAATATAAAGATCGAGATGCTAAAGATAATTAATTACAGAAAATAATTTATAATTAACTGTTTAAAAAATAATATCGGATCGATGAATCGTCAAACTAAAATTAAGCCCCATAAGATTGAGAGATGCTTTGATAATGACAATGGAACGACAATCCAGAAGAACACGCCCAGAAACTATCAAGGTTGCTTACCACTTGATAAAAGAACACAACAATCCAGAAAGATAATGATAATCCAATCAATCAATGGAAATAAGATCATGTGCTGTGTCAAAAGAACCCCTGCAAGTGCGCATTATTCATAGGTGGCAGTGAGGCATTCCTCGAAGCACAACCTGCACAGCACGATGATTTCAAACATATTTCTCATAAGTTCAGCTCACAGATGACGGACTCAATCAAAAGGATGATTTCATTCTATACTTATTCTATGACTTCATCAACTGTTAAAGCAAATGAAATATCAGCTTATTCCATCATGCTTACAATAACAAGGCTCAAAATATGATCGTATGTCTTGTTTTATACTCTTTAACCTATGTACATGTTGCTGATCAACAGGCTAACTCAACCATCTGCTCATGTTTATTTGTATCGGTTTCAACAAATAAATCCAAAACCTCTTCGACTCTATCTACGCTCTACAACCTCATTACAAAATTAGTGCTGAGAAATACATTTCGTTCACTGATTACCATCATAACATTGCTGAGCTCCTGCAGTATTCACAAAAAATTGTGGTCGTCCATCGGACTGGACCAGCTACAGCCAGCAGACCAACCCAAAACACCAAGGATCACATCCACACTCGAACATGCATTCACCTATAATCGCTTTATGAATAAGAAACAACATATACGGTTAGAAAAGAAAGAATTAAGATGAGCAATCATACCAGGTTGTCCGGTGTTCCTTCAAAATGAAACAACATTACACCCATACCCCTTCTTCTGTCAATTTCTGCCTGTTTTATAGAAACCTGAAGGTTAAGCCTGAAAATGCAACCAAAAATTACAGAACTAAAGTCATAAAATGTTTGATTATCACTAACCACACAAGAGCATATCCTAATCCCAACAGCCGTCAGTGCTGATGAAACTTCAGCCATCATACCTGGAATGGTGTAAATGAATTAGAAAGTAAAGAATATATTTGCACCTAGAACATGGAAGTTGCATGATTCTAGATAGACTTTCATCTTGACAATAGAGAACAAACTTTTCAGGTTGCATATCACCACGGATGGAGAGTGACAATAAATTGTTACCTTTGCGATCGATACATACTACACAAAACCACATAATTGAATTGCCTTCAACATGGTGCCACAATGCAATTTTGCCTGCTTTCCAGCTTTCTAAACCAGGTAACACCTCTTTATATGTAGGAATCTTTCCATATATAAACTCACTAAAAGCATCATCTCTGGTCATTGGATTGCCATTGATCTTCATACACATTTTCTGCACAATCTTGTTGTACTTTCCATTGATTTTAGGCAAGTCACTAGTGTTCCGAACAGGTAAAAGGTCATGCTTTCTCTCTGTGGAAGTTGATTCCTTGGCAATCGCAAGCATCTTTTCCCATATGGATTTTCTTTCGTTCGATGGAGACCTGGAAAACGTCTGTTCATATTCACCCCCATCCTTGAGATCGGCAACAAAATCGTTAACCGTATCTGCAGTTATTTCAGTTGCAGCAAGTGCAGCTTGCTCCCTCAAAAACTGATAGAAGACAAAGGTTCATGAAATAACCAGACAACCAAAAATATTCAATAACAGTAAAACTTAAATGACTCCTACTTTCATGATTTTGTGTCTGGCACTTCGAGTCTTTGCATGCTGCAGCCATTGCTGATGCCTTTGGAAAGCTGATTTGCTTGATAAAGCCTGACAAAAGATGAAATTACATTGAACTAATGAAATATGGCCAGTCAGAGACTTGAAACTTTGAAGAATGGCTTAATTAACTATAATTATCACTGGGGAATCAAGTCAAGGATTTATGTAAGGTACTGAAGTATGGTGAAGACCAATGTAAGAAATCAGCCAAAGGTCTCTAAATTAGTGATAATAAGCAAAAGACCATTCAGCTCAGTTTCAATTAAGGCAACAAGTCCGACTAATAACGTTGTGAACAACAATGCTTTTCTCTATATTATCATAATTTTATACTTTGTAAAATTTAGACACAAGTATAAGAACCATTTAAACAAATTGTATGAAGTATTAGGGGGTCAATCTTATATTTGACATGTCTTAAACCTTTATATAAATGATCTTATCATAAATATCATACATTAATATCAGCTAGGAAGACTGTACAAGTATCCTGACATGTTTTCAGGATCAGGTAAGTTTCGGTGTTTAACATGGATTGCCACAGATGCGGTACAGCAAGCATTTTGCAGTATCTGAGCTTCATAATTACATATCCTAAAACTAATGACGTGGAGAGAACTGCAGGAATTGCAATGTGTAAATAGCATAGTTGGGTCCACAGGAGGTTGTCTCAGAAGAACATTTTGCCCAAATAATTTATTAGTATGCAACCATAAACCTCCAAGTTTCATCACCATCTTAAAAATCATCTGCTAAGTATTTGAGAGAGGTAAGGATAATGAAGAAAAAGTATTTACTTGATGCAACTATTATAATCACAAATAAATGCTTATTTTCTGGAAAACAACCAACAAGAAAAATAGATATATAACACAAACATTTTTAAAAAAGGGTTCCAATTACTGACATTGTAGGTGATTATCTCGACAACTTCAGCATTGGCAAGGATATGCATGGGTGAAACAAGATTACCATTGACCTGGAAAGAGGGAAGAATTTCAACATCAAATTACATTAGCAATGTCAAGGTCTAACCACAAATTTTTAATGGTGTACCTTCGCTGCGACCATATTGTTTCCAATATCAGTGTGAATCATATAAGCATAATCAATCACAGTTGCACCCTTGGGGAGGTTTTTTATCTACAGTAACAAATATCAAGTAATTGTAGAATATGAGGCTGCACAGTTGTTGCTAAAACAAAACTACTCCTTAATTGGCCCACCTCTCCTTTTGGCGTAAAAACAAACACCCGACTACCCAACAGGTCTCGCATGACAGTATCAACAAATTCCCTAGAGCTCATGTTACCAACAAACTCCTGCTGCCAGTCTCTGATAGCATTGAGCCAACCAATCTGGAAAGTGTACAAAATATATTTTTCAAAAGAAATAGATTCACAAAGTACCAAAATAATACCATAAGGTGACTACTTGAATGCCCTCATATACAACAAGCAAAAATAGCTTGCATACCCTGAGAGCAAAATCAGTATTGTTCAAGCAAGTGGTCTTTCCTTTTGAATTTCTCCCACCAGGTATTTCTTTTGCTACCAAACCAGGAACTACTCTTCCACTGTAATGAGCAGCTATACCTCTTTCAGCTATTAAATCCATGTCCTCTGTTCTTATCTGTCAATTTAAAAGTACAGAAACAAGTTATACTCTCGAGGCAATTAACTAGAGATACCATAGAGAGAACATTTATACACTGTAAACTTTCCACATCAAATTTCCCATGCAGTTATGAAGAACATGTGCTTTGAAATAACCTGAACCTCCAAATGGAACATGCTCTCATAAAGAAAGGGCATCACTGTGGTATGGAGGCTTTGGTAGCCATTGGGTTTTGGAGTAGCAATATAATCTTTGATCTGTCATGTATGAAATTCAGTTTATCAAACACTACAGCTGTGATAATTTTTTTAAAAAATGCAGCTAAGCAGAACTCACAGCTCGAGGTATGGGGGTCCAGATTTCATGAACAAGGCCAAGAACATGGTAGCATATCTAAATATTAAAAGAAAATAATAAGCATTGGTCACAAAATAATGGCATGCTATGAACATGTGATTTGCCACCTGTTGTGCACTACACAGAGGTCCAACTCCATTGCAGGTTTTCGGTCTTATAATAATTCGGAGCTGGTAATAAACAACTAGAGTTAGCATTTGGAAAATCAGACCAGACTATGATACATAATAATGAAGATCGGTCTAAATTTATTTAAGCTGCTAAGGCAATTTATTCGGACCTGTGCAATTTGGTTGATCTCGTGAATTGACCTCTTCGATTTCAGCACAGCTTTGTACACACTATCATATGCTCAAAAAATAAATCATCAGTTACATGAACAAATGATAAAAACAATCAAAATCCCCATAATAGCAACACTGCTGAAGAAAATAATTAGCAATGATGTACTTTCAGAGTTTCAGTAGTTTAACTACAAAATAAAGGATACCATACAAGATAAAAGATTGATCAGAAGGGAAGATTACATAAAATATCAGTGTCAGTGCCATAGGATAGAATGTAGTTGGTTAAAGATCCTTGACTCTTTAATATAGGTTGGAAGGCATATGTCAATCGTAATTTATATCAGTCATTACAAAATCAACCCATTCTGAAATGAGAAAGCTTAACACTTTTTCCAGACGGTATTAGCCAGAAAGTTGCATCCATCAACACCTGAAATCTAGGGTCTCCTCCCACAAAGTTGTGTTGGCCGATGGGTCTTATCAAGCACTGAACTAGTGTGGTTTAATATCTTAAAGATAATGCATGAAAACCAGAGAAGGCGAAACAATGAAAGAAGCTAGAAAGGAGATATCAGACTCTGAAAGAGTAAGTGTTTTGGCTATCACTTATAATTGATTGCTTTTGTTCCTATTCTTTGTTTTTATCATTTTCATTTTGTTGAATCTCCTAGAAGGAAGAGTGATTCTTTAAAATATGCTGGCAGCACAGTATACTAGCTGCTGGCCAAAACAGGGAGTACCACCGAGACTAACAAACTTGGTTTTTAGTCTGAACTTTTGAAGAGCTGGCAATAGTTGCACTAAGGCTAAATGAATCATGAGTGTAGATTTCGAACTTATGTCGCCAAAAAGTGGCTATCTCTAATGAAATTTTGACCTGCTTGAATTAGTCTTTAAACCTAGTGGAAGGTTATAGAAAATGATTCTTCAACTTCTATTACTGTTAATTTCTAAGCATGAATAAGATAAGATGCAAGGACACAATGTCAATTCTCAACATCTTGTCATGGAAACCTACCCTTCAACCTTCTAAGAGGCAATTCAAATCTTGACGAAAACACTAACTAGAATGACATTTAACTTTTTTAGGAGGCACAATTTTACATACTACTGTGCCCAATCTTTGCTAAAGCCTAAAACAAAGAACAAATGGAGACATGTTCAAGACTTCAGTAGCCTACAGCTACGACCATAGACTAAAGCATTTTAAGCTATGCTGGAAAGTTCAGCTCCAACATGCCAATAAGTTATTTGGGTTACTATTAATTACATCAGAGTATATCTGTGGGTTTTGTGAAAGATGGTCTTCTTCTTGCCTTCATAGATACCCTAGTAGTCCATCATCTGGAAGAAACAATTGATAATCTCTTCTAGATTGACTGGCCTACTATTAGTAAATTAGGTTTTAAGCATTTTGGACTATATAGTCAAAATCAACTTCACATAATTTACCAGAGAGTTATGAAATATGGAATGATCACATGAGGCTACATCTGATCATCTTTCCTCCTCTGATTCTCAAAACAAATGAAAATATGTATCGGAACTCATTCATTAAGATGCAACTGTATTTGATACAGTGCACATTCGAACATAAATTGAATATCAAATTATTTATGTATTTAACTATGAGTTTACTTGTAAAATCACTTTATATAATCTTCCTCATCTCCACCTGAATATTCTATCCGTCTGCCAATTTGTGTGATAAGTGATCAAAGTAGATAACTCAAATATTAGAAGTAGACCAAAACTGAAGTCTTTGTATTGACCTGTACAGCTCTTTACAGACAGACCGCACTTCTGTTTTCACTGAAACAAGATCCAAAAATTGGTCCTCTTCGATTCTTTGCCTTAAGATCTTCTTAGCCTATCAAAAATGAGTGTTGAAATAATTTTCCCTTTACAAACATAAAGGTTTATGATACCAAATAATTGCAATATTAAAAAATAAATTATTATTTGTCATATTTAATTAAGATGAAAAAAAATTACCTCATCTAGTTCTTTCTCATAATCTCTATAAAGATCTTCGACTCTTTTCTTAAGCTCCACAAAGTCGCTAGGATTTGTATACAGGAAAGACAGATATTCTAGTTCTGACTGCAAAAAAAATCTGACAGTTAAAAGTTGTAACAATCAGAACAAGAATTTAAAAATAAGAGTCTGACAGCCTGAGTCATAAAATCAATCAAATGCACAAACAACTTCCCCAAATTATCTCAAGGCCTGAAAGAAATCAATGCGAAAATGATTTCCAAGCATCCATGTAATCAGATTTTGCCCAGGCTGCTTCCTACTGGATGGTATTTGCCGGTCCAAGCCTAAACTAGCACACAGAAAATGGTTTTTCACTTAACCAAGTTACCATCAGATAACCGGCAGAAACTGAGCTTACAGTCCAGTTTCTGCCATTATCGGGCCTGAACCAAGTGGTAAGCCAATCCCAGTTCAAGAATTTAAATGGCTTTATTCCCTCTTTCCCGTCCACTCTCACTTTTCCTCATTCCCTCTATAATTGTCACCCATTCCTTCTCAATTCCCATACAATCTCTCCCAAACTCACTTGAATATTCAAAGGGTTGCTTAATTTCAACAATAAGGCTGAATCTCAAAATCCAAACCGAATTTTCTCCCAAATTAGGTATATCTGAATCTGATTTTCCAATATAATCACTCTTGGTTGCAATTAGTTTAGGATTTATTGAAATTAACTAGCCAAATGGCAACTATGCAACTGATGCCATAATTGAGGCATAATAAATTACATATTCAGATATGATTGTAGTAGCATTTATTAAGGCATATTCAATTGTTCATTAGTTTTTTATGTTTGTTAATCTAGGGATGGTTATTTCGAGAGGCTCTCGAGTCTCCACACATTTAGCAAGAATACCGCTGTTTCATACCAACAATAACATGGATCCTGATTAGATTAATCTGATATTTACCTTAAGCGAATTGGTTGTGTGATGAGGCTTAACTGTCCTTTTCTAGCTAAGTGACGGCTACAATTTGGAGAATTGACACATATGAAAAAACTTGACAATGAGGGTTCTATCACAAGCAACATCATCCGATGGTTGTAAGCATAATTGGTCACCACTTGCCTTGATTCATATAAAACTTCACAACCAGCTTTCTTATGGACTCTTGAAGAAATTTGTCAACATACACTATAAATATGTATGAAGTTGCATCGTATTGAACTAGACAAGGAAACAACCCTTGAGATTGATCTATTTAATTTTTAGTTTTAAAATGATGACTTGTATCCGATGATTAACTAACTAATGCAGTAGAGAGATTAGGTGGTCCACTTCTATTTTACAGAGGAGATCCTCCATATCTATTTTGTTTTATCTCTATTAATGCCTTTGTTGGTTGTTCAAGCCAGAAGAGATTTCGAAGACAACTAGGGTTCCTTACGTGTTAGTCTCGATGTAAATTCCAGTTCTTCTTGACCCTGAAGGTGCCGACCCTGCAAAACTAAGTCAGGGACATTCCTAACCAAGGCCCCTCCGACTTTTAAGTCAGTTTTGGATTTAGATTGTTCGGATAAGCTCTTGAAGTGAATTCTCAATCTGTGGGGTGCACAGCTGGGGAGCCCCCTTTATGGTGAGCTCTAAGGACTGTCACTTCCGAGATCATTGATGGTTATATGAAGCAATTATGCATCGTTCTTGGGCCAAATCAGGGTCGTGGCGTCGTGGTTCGTCGAATCTGGGATGCACATTGATTGGCTTGACTTAGTCGAGCTGCCAAGGTGTTGTCCACATACTGTCTGTGTGGCCTCAGGCTATCGGCATGTTGGACACATGATGTTGCACTGCCAGCCATGCGTAGGACGACTATCACCTGTGTGATACTGTGTTGGCCTCGTGTTGTCCACATGACCTTGGACTTTCAACAAGTCGGGCATGTGTCGCCCATGTGGTATTGAGGTGTCGGTCAGGTCATCGATTCCAATCAATCTCCAAAGCAATCAAAGAAGAGGAATTATAGGAATTATAGGAGCCTACAAAGAGCAAGGCCCAGTGTCAGGATATAATCGAGCTTCAGTTAGTCCTCCATGAGTCATGATCGAGTTCAACAGAGTCAAACATAAGAGTCGGGCTTAATAATTGATTGATCCCTTATAAACAATTGACAAGCAGATTGGTGACTAGATGCCCTTACAATCTGTACTTCACGAGGTATGTGGAGATGCCAACGACATGAGCTGTATTGCATCTATAGATGATGACACACAAGGATATGGATCATTTAGTCTTGCCACTACCAAGTGGAACATTTTAGTCTTGCCACCACCAAGGATACGGATCATGACACACATGGATTCACATACTTTGTTTATGGTGATAAAGGAAAGAAAAAACTGGTAAAGATTACGTGGAGATGAGACACAACCTACATGATGTCGAGCTTGGCAGGAGTTCCTTACATTCACAGCCATCCTACCACTTCACATCTCATGGTCAATAGATGCACACGGATAGTTGATCATTTTTTGGTCAGATATACGTAGGACATGCAATAAAATTATAGTTAAGACCATTGCAGCACCATTGCATTACATTCTGCAAAGCCATAGTTACCATGGTCATTCCTGCTTAAGGTACCTCTTAGGCTCTTACTACAGTGAGTTGTTAACAATGATAAGATCATAAGACCATGACTTCTATCACGTTACTACATTAGTGGCAGACGATTTACCGATATCGGATGCTGTGGGAGTAGTCCTATACATCAGTCCTTCAAATGTACCTTATTGATCCATGGTGGAGTCACATCAAGGGCAATGAACTATCTCTCATGGACTCACTACAATCATTCTGGTGGTAGAAGCTATAATTTCAGGTATATTATTGTATTTTACATCAAATATATCATGTTCAAAAGTTTTGTATATATGTATCTTTAGATACGGTTTTTAATCCATATTTGAAATATGGTTTGATTCATATTAATTGTTTCCTAGACCAAATAACTTATTTTAATCTTTTTTATTATATGTGATTAAAAAATTGAGAAAAACCCTAAAGCAGGATTTCTGTTTGTCTGACTTGTCCAAACTTTGTCAGTATGCTGATGCTTACTGAAGCCACGCCAGTCTTAAGGACTGATATGGGTGCAGCATTAAGAATTTAAACCATGCTTGCACTATTCCAAAAGTAGTACTGTAGACAAAATCTTACATGCTGCAGGTGTTAAAGGAGTCATTTATAGTTACACAATGGTGCATTCTGGATAAACCTGGGTTGCTCCAATGGATGCTCATGATATAACCAAAAGGTGGTAATTCCTGAAGACATGCATATTCTTCAAGACAAACAAGAACACAAGCCAAAGCAAAATTTCAAGATCAATTTTGAAATAAATTATAAATAATTTACCCAACAAGGACCGGAATTCTTAGCCTAATGGGGATCCATGTTAGTTTTTGAAGTCTTTTGATATGATCAGACTGGAGTCTGAAGGATCTAAGTGAAATGCAACAACCTTGAACTGTAGATGCATATTATAATGCTCTTGTTCCTGATTTTCAAGAATCATATTGTTGGCCACTTACAGCTGAACTGCAATATGTCACAGCCATGAAGCCTCTTACTACATGTAAGGATTGGCATTTTGGGGAACAGTCGAGATATCATCAATGATCTACAATATTTCATAAGTAGATATTTATATCAATATTTCATAAGAATAAGAAGTAGGATGTACTCCAGTGAGGTGTACCTTCCATATTGATGATACCAAAGATATAAAAGAAAGGCATATCTTATTCTAGTGACAACTAAATCTACACTGCCCATCTTGTGTTTCCATGAGTTAGTACCTAAGCTTGTGCGGATCTTTCACTTGGATCTTATTCATTGGTTTTAACCCAATATCACTGATGTCTACTTAACCCAGAAAGATATTATCCCAGAAAAATGTTTTTTCATGTAATTTTACATGTATATTATTGTAATTTCTACAGAAAGATATTATGGATGTCCATAGAAGGGGATGGTCAAAGCAAGATAACAAGATATATAAGCACAAGAGCATGCAAGTTCTGCAAAAAATTCCAGCACACATACCTTAATTTGGTACATCCCTAAAAGCTTTGCTAAAGGTGCAAACACTTGAAGTGTCTCTAAGGCAATGCTGGACTGCAAACAAAATGAAACTCAATATTGGAAACAACAAAGTCACTCTGAAAGGAGCAACAATTAATTGAAAAAAGAAAAACCTGCTTATGTGGAGGCATGTGGGATAGAGTACGCATATTATGTAAACGATCAGCCAATTTGACAATTATAACACGAACCTATCAGAAGCATTGCTTCATTAATATCCATCGAATGCAATAAAGTCAAAAAGGATGATTTGTAAATGCATGATGTGAGCACCTCTTCTGTCATTGCAAGAAACATCTGCCTCAAGTCATCAGCTTTTACATCTTGAACTGAACTATCTGCACTTTTGCACTTTAGTTTTCCCAGCTTGGACACCTAACTCAGTAAATAACACAAAAACTTAAATCAAGAGCTTGATGTTGTAATCTACATGGCTACAGTGATCTTCTACCTTGGTCTCTCCCTCCACAATGTGTCGTACAGTAGCACCAAACTCCTTCTCTATCCTATCAAATGTAACTAATTTTGTATCTTCAACAGTATCGTGTAACAAACCAGCAGCAATGGATTCCCAATCCAGTTCCTATATAAAATCAATGCAATGTCAAACAGCTAAGGTCCTGATGATATTTAGTGAAAATCAAACGACACAACTGGCTGTGGAATAAATTTCATGATGACTACTTAAATCTTAAATGTGTTTCCCCAGCTATATTACTTACAAGTTCTCCGAGTATCCGTGCAACTTCAACAGGATGAATAATGAAGGGTTCCCCACTTCGCCGTTTCTGGCCATCATGTGCTTCAAACGCAAGCTGCACTGACCAAATAAGAATGTTTACATGTGAACTTCCCTACATTCTGAATATGTTCTGGAAACAGAGAAATTCATGCTAAAACCAAAACAAAATTGCACTGCAACATCGGCAAAGGGGTAGCACTTAAAGTAGCAAACATAGTTCTTAGTGGTTACCTTCAAAGCATCATGTACTAACTTCAGTTCCTCTTGTGCAAGATAAGAAATAGTTGGTTTCAGGTCCTGGTTTCATAAAAAAAAGGTGGAAATTCAACTACAAAAACCAGTAATTATGCTGACATACAAATACTAAAGGCTACTGACAACAGAAATTAAAAGCTACTAAAAGCTACTGATAACATACAAATACTAATAGCACATATTTTACCAGAAAGAGAACAAATTAGAAGAGAACCAGGTTATTTTTTTTAATATTGCTTGATAGGTGGACAAATTTTGCTTTTCCTTTGCAAGAAAAAACCTTCAGATAGGACTTCAAGATGAAGGCCAAAGAATATTATTTTGTAAAATTGTTGTCAGGCAAGAAAACAAAAGGCACTTCTATATCAGTAGTTATACTTCCCCAATAAGTATCCAAATAGTATACATATGATAAGTAGAAGAAATTATCAAAATCACGTACTCCTTTTTTGTCTAACTTAAAAAGATGAGTGCTTACAGCAAGTAATGCTGATTTGAGATATGATGTTCTGCATGATTCAAGGCTCAACCAATCAACAGATTAACTAAGGCAAAAATGAGGACATGAGAAGATCAGAATCAAGTAAAATTGCTTGGTCTCAGAAATAAATGCAGAATAAGTGTAGAGAGGGTGTTTCTACGGTTTATGAGATGAGGAAGTTCGCTGGATTCCTGTTGCCTAAATTGTGCCCTAAAATTTAGGGTCTTACAGAAACCAAACAACAACACAGAACATGCTGTGGTTCCTAATGTCTTTCACCACAGTTTGTGCTGAGTATTTTTATAGCCCTTGAGTGATCACACAATAAGTTCTCCTCCTTGTAAAAATGACAAAATAGAATCATTAATGAAAGTATAGCTAACAAAAATACCAAACTGTCAGCAAGCGCCTGTTCTGAAAAACATAAAAGAACTGGAAACCGGTGTGGTGAATGCACAAGTCATTATCAAGCATAAAGAAAGTCCAAAGATAATTTGCATCTTGTATTTATGACCTACAAACATTGGTTACAGAACACTTAAGAATCATTCATTTCTTGAATTTTTCACAGACCACCAAGTGAGTCGACTCTTCCTGGTTGATCTATTTTGAGGACCACATTTCCATGGCAAGTCCTCTGACAGTTGGTGGCTTGCACCAACTTCTACACCATTGTGCCAGCAGAAACATTAAAATATAAGGGAGGCAGATATCTCAGCTATCAAATACATATTATGCCATGGATACAGTAACACTGAACATCAGTGACCATGCTTCATTTACAATTGGATGATGCAATCAGGTTGTGCCCAAGGCACTCACCACTGTGGTCTTGTAGACCATGATGATACAAGACAGATGAAAGTGAGTAGGATAAGAAACTCTTTAAGTTCTAGTCCAGTTAAACTATAGTTATTTGCACCTGTTAGAATCATTTAGTTGGACAGAATTAAAACAGACCAAAGCAATCACACCAAACAGTGAAGTTTAACAATCAAGCCAACGAGTAAAGAAATACAAGGTATATTGAGTGCTGGAACCATGTTCAAATAGTATGCATCAGTAGGTAAAGCAGTAACTTAAATCATTAGCAGGGGTAACTATGACATACATGTTAGTCAAAATGACACAAAATGAGAGTACCAATTTCACTCCTTTTTATTACCTTCGTGGAGCTAAAATTCTTGCATTGTAAAAACTAATGGTCTGATTCATTTCATCTACCATCCTGGTCAGCACCATTTAATTGGCATTTTTATAACCTGATGTACCAAGATAACAGACATTATTATATTATCTAGCTCTCTTGTTCTTACAATGAAGAAACATAATGGCATAGACATTCAACTTGTAGTCCACCATTAGTTGTGATAACTATGACCATTGGCAACAATTGTCAGATCAACAGCATTGTAGCATTCAAGTCAAATATCAACTTCATGGAACTCTAGACAGCAACAATTGAATTGTGATATCTATGACCAACAATTTAAGCTTAACTGTAGTTCAGATCAACACCATTGTAGCATTCAACTTCTATCCTATATCAGCTTAACAAACTTTTCTAATTAGAGATATAGTCCTTTTCGTCATCATTATTGATCAAACACTTAAGCTATTGACAATAGACCTAATTCACATTTCCCTAATTCATGAACTACCAAAGCAGTCATTATCACTTTAGTTTTCCTTAATCTTAGTGAACTTGTCTAGTATCATTTAAGCCTATAGGACAAAATACACATTAGTGCCCTTGCAAACATTTGTTCAGGTGCAACTAAAACAATACCCCACAAAGTATAGCTAATAGTAATCTAAATTCTAAAGTATGAGGATCATACCAAATGAAAAGATTGACTTGTATTTTTTGCTGACAAGAAAATGCAAATCACACATGGATGAAAAATAAACAACATAATAAATAACAATATAATATGAATTCCTGACATAAAAATAATCTTTCAATAGCCTCATTACGAATATTCCTGTCATAAATTTAACAAGAATAACCACGTATGAATTATAAGCAAGTTTTAATGTCATCACTCAGATAAACAAAGGAAGAACAGGATAAGTTTGTTCAATACCTCCCACAATGAATCAGGAGAAATGCTATCAGAGAAGCTCGAATTTGATGAAGCACAACCAAGCCTCCATTTTTTGCTTGTTTGAAGAGTAATATGTGATCTAGAAGACCATTCATATACTGAAAAATCAACAGAGTTGGTACATCGCAACTGTCCCTCATTAAGGTCTTCAGATCTAGCCTATATAACCAATATATAAACATATTACTAGAAATCAACTAGTTATTATTTATACAAAATTTGGAAGAGTAATTGAAGCAAAATTATCAATAGATACTAGAAATCAATGCGAAAACGCATAGCAAATTGCAACATTAAACAATTCTCATATATCTTTCTCAGTTAAAAAATAGTGTAGGCCAAGTGTAGATCTTGATATTGAATTGAAGCTATTGGCTTACTTTACATTGTTAATAATTAGAAAGATACAACTGATGAATGTTTTCAATAAAATAAATGAGACCATGCAAGAGAGAGGCATGACCATTGCTTGCTATATAAATCAGGTCATTTGTGAAGTTCCAGATGTCAAGCATCTGATGCATTAGTCTCCACATAAGCCAACAATAGAATGCCCTTCATTTATTATTCCGCATAAATAAATAAGCTTCTTTGGATGGTGAATTAAAGAAAAAATTTCAATATCATAGCAATTCTCTGGATGGTATAAACAAATAAGCTGCTTTCGATGTACATATGCTTCTCTCCAGAAAGAGGGTAAGTACAAAATGACTGAGATCATAATCCTCATGTCCATATTGGTGACCATCTACAATGGTTAATGGTATGACTAGTTATAAGATAAGAGACATCATAAAATAAGTACCTTTTTTGCCCTCTCTCTCTCCCTCTCTATTATCTATCTATCTATCTATCTCTTCCCCTGACACACACACAAAAGCTTAACTCAAAAATCCAGGACTACAACACAGCTCTTAGAATAACAGTTATATGACTGTATACCATCCGTGGATATAATTTTATACAAACAAATGCCAAATATGATCTCAATTGCTCTTTTTGAAAGAAATAAAATCAAGCAAACCAAAAGTGGAAGTAACTTTTGGTGGCACCAATTATTTGACATAAACTTTTCCCCTTACGCGGAGAACATTTGTCATTAGTTTTTTATATAAACATCTATTAACAATATAAGCATAGGTCACATCGTTTTTATGAATAAGTACATTTTGACAACTTAATGCAAAGTTATTGGAGGGAAAAGCTGCTAGTCTTGAAATTTGTAGACTAAGAAAAACCATATATTTCTTGAGACTATATTTACAACACTAAACAAGTTCAACTACTTTAACAATTCATGGATGTATCCAACTTGCATTTGCTCTCTACCTGATTAGCTTAAAGGAACCAAAAAAGAATAGCATAACAAGTATAGTTGGGTCCATCTGATTAGGAATCGATCAAGTTACTTGTACCACAGGTCTAGATGACCCATAACTTGCAAGAGTTCTGCAATCAATCAAGATGAGATGATTTTAAACAAAGAATGTTAAACAAATAAACAAATAGACTACCAGCCACAACAGCCAATCTAAGAGTCAAGTCCTTTGAACCAAGGTCTGCAATTTCGTACCATACCGGAGTTTCGACGTTCGCTCGGTACGGTATGAAACTGTATACCGAGCGGTATACCATTCGGTATACCGCTCGATA